GCGGACACATTCAGGGGCGTGATTGAGCACACGGGCCGGTGGCGTCCGGACATCGAGCTCGAGGGGAAGAGGGTCGTGCTCTTTGGCAACGGGTGTACGGCCGCGCAGGTCGTCCCGAGCATCGTCCACAAGACAAAGTCGCTGACACAGATTGTGCGGTCGAAGCACTGGATCTTCCCGCCCATTGATAGAAAGGTGCCCGACGTAATCCGGTCCGGGCTCAAGACCGTGCCGGGCCTAGCGCGCCTGCTGCGCTTCATCGTTTTCGCCGCGGCGGAGAGCTCGTTGCAGGGGTTCCCACTGACGGAGGCGGCGAGCAGGTACAGGGCTGGACAGAAGAAGGTTGCTGAGGAGTATATGCGGTCTACGGCGCCGGCCAAGTACCACGACCTACTGATCCCGGAATTTGAGATTGGGTGTAAGCGGCGCATCTTCGATTCCGGATACCTGAAGAGCCTGCACGCCGAGAATCTGACGTTGACGAACGAGAAGGCGCTGGAGATTGTGCCGGAGGGTGTCAGGACGGCAAAGGGGCTGATTGAGGCCGACGTGATAATCCTGGCCAACGGATACCACACCAACGAGTTCGTTGCCGGGGTCAATGTCATCGGGCGAGATGGCGAGACGATACCGAGCCATTGGAAGTCCTTTGGAGGGCCGGAGGGATATAACTGCTCGATGATGAACAACTTTCCCAACTTTGTCATGATTATGGGTACGTTCTCATGTCCCTGGAGGAAATTTCCCCTGGTTGCTGACACGAAAGAAAAAACAAAAAGGCCCCAACGCTGCGACAGGACACACGTCGTCCATCATGGCCCTAGAAAACTCCATCAACTACGCTCTGCGCGTCTTCAAGCCTGCGCTGGAGGGCAGAGCGAGCACCGCGGTGATCAAGCGCGAGGCCGAGGAGGCGTACACCGACACCATCCAAGACGCCCTGCAGCACAGGGTATGGAACTCGGGGTGCAGCAGCTGGTACTTTCAAAAGTCGGCGGACGGCACCAAGACGTGGAACGCCATGAGTTACCCCTATACCCAGGGCTATTTTTGGTATCGCTGTCTGTTTCCGGTGTGGTCCGATTGGGAGTATAGCGTGAGTAGAGACGGCGAACTTTCTTGGGTGAATGGTGAAGCTAACTTGACTCTTTGCGTTGCAGGGACAAACGACTTCGGTCTCGTCGATCAAGAAGAGGCAGCCGCGCGCATTGCTTTTCGTCCTGACTACATTGCTTGGTCTCGCGGCTTGGGGGACATTTGACAAGACAGGATTCATTGCGGCTGCGGCCCAGGCTCGCCTTTCTTTTGATGCGCTTGTTTCCTCTATTCCCAAGTGAATTATCATTGCCATCATCATGTATTTCCTCAAATTGTCAGCCAAATCTTTTCCAGGGTCTTCAGTGTTTCTTTGATAATGCATCTGAGAGTTGCACATAGAATAGTCTATCCATTTGTACCCATATCCTTCGATAAGGTACCTCACCTTACTTGCATCGAAATAAACACTGACATAAGCTCACTAAGATCTGAGTTCCAAATCTGGGGCATACCAGGTATTTCGTCAATACAAGTAGTTGATGGGTCCGGCAGCTGCACCCTTGTCGAGGCAAACGGCGAAAACACGCACCAATCATTGCGGCGGTGATAGTCATAGCTTAACTGCTAAGTCCCCGGTGGGCTTTCAACTCGTCCCGGTGGCCCGCTTCCGCCGGGGAACTTCACGGTCCGATCTGCACGTCAAGGGAATAGCCGTTCAACCCCGCAAAACTCACTGGAGCCTTGTACACACCATAGTACCTCATGACGAATACCTTCATCCGACATCTCCGTGGCCTTGTTGGAATTCTTGGTGTTGGTACTTTGCCGGTACTTCTGTTGACCTGTCCTAAAGTTCTCGACAACGTTAATTCACCTCGCTATGAGACTATTTCGGTATTAACAACTTGGCAACGTAGGAGCCCATGCTTCTCACCAAAGGGTCAATCTCTTCAACGTTAGCACACTCGACGGTCACGGCAGGACGCGGTACCTCGCGATGCCTCCTGGGCGACAGGAACGGCAGCGTCGTCGCAAAATCACACTGGCATGTGAGCCATGCCGAGAGCGTAAGGCGCGCTGCGATGGCGGCAAGCCCATATGCTCGACGTGTCAACGACGATCCCTGGCCCTCGAACATTGCGTCTACACGGTAAACAATGCAAGAACGGCATGTAGCGATGAGTGAGTTTCTTACCATGTGACGTCCTTGATGTTTTCTTCCTACATTCCGCTCACCTACGAAAAAGCTACACAAAGACGCTTCATGAGCGCATCCGCAAGCTAGAGCAGGCTTGCACATCGCGCGGCATCGACATCAACACTCTTGAACCCACTGCGCAAGACACTCATGGGAACGCCGCGGACAATGTCTCATCCGCCGCTGTGGAAGGCCGGGACTTTACCGCACTAGACGCCGCCTCCACTATGGAAACATCCGACGACCAAGCGGCGGCAGCGGCAGCCCAGCTGCCATCGCCGTACTCGTCTGTTGGCGTCGACAGCTCCAGCGAGGCGAGGCGGGTGACGGCCATGGGCACCATCCTCGCCGAAGACGACCTGGAGGACTCGCCCAACAATTCGGCGGAGCCCGACTTCTACGGCAGCTCCTCGGCCGTTGCGTTCCTCAAGGAGGCCTACAGCGCGATGAACTCGGTTCCTGCACGAGTCCAGCCGCCCACGCCATTTCGGAGCCAGCAGGCACCGCCATCCCTCGCGACATCATCTTCTCTGTACGCCGACTTCGACAAGTTCCTCTTACCCCCTCGCCCGTTCGCCGACCACCTTCTTCAGCTGTACTTTCAGAGAGTACACTACCTCTATCCCGTATTCCACAGACCGGCCTTTGAAAGAGCCTATGAATCCCTCTGGCAACCGACGACCTCAACTACCACCGCAACAGCAGCAGCCGCAGCCGCCTCTGAAGCAGGAGAACCGGAATTCTGCGGCGTAGGCCTGGGCTGTTCCCCGGGCGCGGACGCCACCACCATCGTCTTCCACAGCGCCCTCAACTCCATCTTTGCGCTCGCCTGTAACTTTGCGGACCTCACCTGCGCGGAAAAGACAAAGAGCATCGAGGTGTTTCTGCTGCGGAGCCGCAAGTGCCTCGGCGTCGACCTGCTCGAGAAGAACAACCTCGGCGTCGTGCAGACGCTGTTGCTGTGCGGGTTGGTTTTTCAGGGGACGCCGTTTCCCGATCGGTGCTGGAATGCCGTTGGGATCGCGTGTCGGATTGCGCAGGGGCTTGGACTTCATATGGATGTTGTGGCGGCGCGGGACATGGGGACCGGCCTAGGGGCGGAGGAGGAGGGAGGGTTCACTTTGGAGATGGACGTTAGGCAGCGGACGTGGCAGGGTTGTGTTATTCTCGATACGTGAGTTGCCCCCCTATCATAGTTTATCTATGTTGCCAGGGTCATTTGGAACCATGAGGAAAAAGGTAGTAATGGCTAATATGTTGTCAGCCTCGTGAGCATGACGTTCGGTCGACCCACCGTCACGTCCAATCTATCAGCAAACGAACTACTCCCCAGGCCCCACACCGGCGCGGACCATAATCTTGAACAGCCCAAGCTGGAGTTCATCACCCAAAGCTTCAAACTGAGCCTGATACTCGAAAACATCCTCTCACAAGTCTACCAGCCGTGGCGGAACCGTCATCCCGCTCAGAGAGCAAGTTGCAGCACGCGGGGAGGAGGAAGAGGAGGAGGAGGCGGAGGAGACATTAGAGGACTAAGCTTTGACGCCATTGTCGAGCTGGACTCCAAATTAACTGAATTTGAGGACTCGGTGCCGCCGCTCCTGTCGTGGGGAGGCGAGTCTGAAGCTTCCATGCTGGACGGGGTCTTGTCTCTAGACGACCTCCGTATCCTCGCGACGCAGAAGCACGTTCTACACGCAAGGTACGACGCCCCCTTACATGTACTCGATATCAGACGGCACCGGGACTAAATGTGAATGTTTTTTCCATGTAGGTTCTTGTATCTCCGCCTCATGCTTCACAGACCGATCCTCACAGATCTCTCGGCTGGGTACGCCCGGCCTCATCGAGACACCGCCGGTGGCCGCCTGTCATCGGAAGCACTGCCCAGGTCGCAGAACAAGGGCCTTAGGGCACCGTTTCTGACAGAGTGTGCTAGAGTGTGTGTAGACGCGGCCATGCAGCTCATTGATCTAGTGCAGGGCTCGTATCAAACGGACACGACAGGGGCGTGGTGGTGGAATAGCTTATGTGAGAGCTTGCCCCTATTCCTTTCTTCTCTTTCATCCCTCCAAAGTACAATTCGTCCTCGTTTTGGTAGAGTAGCAAAAAAGATGGCTAACCGCGAAGTCACATAACTACCACAGATGCCTGTGCCGCCGGATTAGTCCTGATCGTCTGCCGCCTCTGTCCGCGCCTCTGGACGGGGCTGGACCACGCGGCAACGTCCGCATCGTGGGAGCAGTGCCAGAGCATTCTGCAGGGCATCGCGGCGTTCAGCATCTCGGCCCGCAAGTCGCTGGATCTGCTGCGCAAGATTGACGAGGCCGTAACGCAGTTACAAGCAGGTGAGCACTTTTCTTTTTCTCGCTCAAATGGGTATGCCGTCATTATGACAAAGCTGACACGGTCGTTTGTCTACTACAGCGAGGGAGCCATTGGGACAGCATGTTGACCCCGAGATGAATTGCGCGGGGTTGGCGGAGAGCTGGTCGCTTCCGGCGGATATCGATGTCTCGCTGCTACTTGAGCCTGATCCCATGTCTTTCTTTCGCGGGTGGGAGGTGATGGGTTACGAGGGTTTGAGCTCTTGATAGGAAGCAGAGCGTTCATTCGGAGAGAGAGAGGTTTAGAATGTCAACCCGGAAGCAAAAGAGGCCGAGTACTATTTTTTTGGATGTACTAATGTAGAATACAAGTAGGCATAAATTCATATGCCAAAATCAAAAGTCTTCAATAGAAAAGGGGGCAGGAGTCATGTAATTTAGTCTCGCATCAGCTTGGCGTCCTCCAAAACACCAGCAACCTGAGCCTCTCGCAGGATGAGAGACTCGTAATGCTTATTCCTCATATCGACCTTGACGGGGAAGGGCTCACCCGTGGCCTCCAGATTCAGAATGTTTCTGTTGTATGGTCCGTTCTAGAAGTAGGTTTCAAGTTAGTGTTGTTACAAAATCCCAAAATCGCGGGAGAAAGAGGAAAAACCACTCACAGGCTTGTAGTCGACACACTGAACCAGCCTAGCAATATTCAAAAACATGCTGCGCTGAGCCAGGCGGTATCCCACACATATCCTCCGCCCGCCGCCAAAAGCCCATAACCCGTGCGCGATATCCGCCTCGTGGCCGTCTAACCACCTCTCGGGCTTGAACTCGTCCGGGTCCTCGCACTCGTTGGCGACGGCGGGGCCGTTGATGGCGAACCCGGTGCCCGCAGGGAAGTAGTAACCCTCAAACTCCATGTCTGCGGACGTCGTGTGGTCCGGCGTGAGCGGGAAGATGACGTGCCAGCGCAAAATCTCCTTGGCCATGGCGCAAATGTACTTTAGGTCGTCCATGTCGGCGAGGGTGGGCAGGCGGGCCTGCTCGTCGACGCCGCAGAGGGCGTCGACCTCGGCGCGCGCGGCGCGGAAGACGGCCGGGTACTCGAGCGCCGCCATGGTCATGATGTTGAGGGCCTCGCGGGTAGTGTCGCTGCCGGCCTCGATGAGCTGCATGGCGACGTACATGCCGTCGACGTGGTCGCCCTTGTACTTCGTGTCTGGGTGGAGCAGCGTGTCGCGGACAAAGGACGGGGGCGCGGTGCCGTTTTCGACCTTTGCGGCGATGGGGCTGTACCAGCGGTCGTAGAGGTCGTAGTTCCACTGGCCGAGAGCCTCCCAGTGCGGGCGCCAGAGCTGGAGGAAGCGCGGGAGTTTTGCGAGGTCGGGGAACCAGTCGATGATGCTGGAGCCGATGGAGCCGACGAAGAAGGTGACTGCATTCTGCATGTCGACGAGCTCCTCCTCGCTCTTGACCAGGCGCTCGCCGAGGGCGATGCGGTGGATGACCGAATTGGCGTAGCGGTAGTGGTGGCGGTACCACATGCCCGGCTTGAAGACGTACTCGGCCATCATCTGAGTGCTCTCGAGCTCCTGGAACTCGCCGTACTGGCGGAGGGCGGTGCCGCTGAGGAGGGAGTGCATGACGCGCCGGGGCTCGGCCCAGTCCTTTTGGGACATGATGAGGGACTTGCGGTTGCGGCCGACGATGTCGTTGGAGATGGGCATGGGAGTTCGGGTGCTCGTCTGGCTGCTTCGCTTGGCAATGATCTCGCTGACGACGCGGCTGCTGTTTAGGAGGACTAGAGTCTTTGAGCCTAGGTGGAGGGTAGTCATTTCTCCGTATTTTGCCATGGAGAGGAGCTGGTATTTTGGATCAGACGTTAGATTCATGTTTACGCACATCTTCACACATGGAGAGATGGATACGTACGCCTCTGTTGTAGGGGTCTCCTTTGCTGGCATTGACTTGAAGCAGGTTCCCGAATAGGGGAACGCCTTCGGGGCCTGGTGGCAGAACGGGACGTCTTCCATCTTTCCCTCTGCGTTTTCCGACTGGTTTGAAGTACTGGAGTAGTATCGTAATTAGAAGTATGGTGGTGGCTGCGGCGGCGAAGAGTATGGAGGCGACGAAATGTTCTTGTCGTAGGCGTTGAAGAACACTGTGGATTTGCGTTACGACCATCTTAGATATAGAGAATTATCTGAATAATGTGAATATGAGGTATTGATGCAAAGGCGAGTAATGACAGCATGACTGCAGTTTCCGAAAAAGATCAAACGCTTTTATCATGGCGATGAAGGTTGAGCTGATGGCCATAGGGATCTGGATAGAGCCCATGTTCGGGATCGTTCCGACCCCCTTTGGTTTGGCCAGACCATAAACCCATGATTTCGGAACCAAGCCGTTCCCAGGATTTTGATTCCCCGACAGGCCTAGAACAGTTTCGGAGTCGGCTAGAACAGATGATGCAATTGTATTTCTTCCATAGTACTTTTGAGGAGCGGCCTACACGAATTCCATGGTCGCCGCCGTGGTTGCCGAGAGGCCGTAGAATCACTCCTCCGGGCCGGCGGGCTCGGGGAGTCGGCGAGAGTGGGGCCGGCGGACAGCACGGTAAATATGGATCTCCGGCCGAAAGAAGCTACCTTGGGCTGGGAGCTTTAAAAACGACTTGCGTCCGCGAGAGGTTGTGAAAACTTGGAAAAGTTGTTGCACCCAGTCGATTACGAGTAATTACAGCCAACGCCCTGCTTCAGGCCGCCATGCAGGCGTAGACGGGAAGTTCGCCCCTCTTCAGGATCAAAGATTTTCTGGCGCCATCACGATACCCGATCTGCCGATGTCTGCGACTGTGGCTCACGCGGTGGCCTACGGTCAGCGGCCCAATCATAACTGGGTTGGGAATCTCTCTCTCAGTCTGTGACTTTGTGGCGCTCTGCGGTGCTTTGGAGAAGTCACCAATGGGTAATCTCCCAGTACAGCAGAGGGTGACAGTGAGAGTGGTTACACGTGTTGCCACAGGTGACCTGGTTAGACAGGCTGCAGTAGGCTGCAGGAAGACGATGCAGATCCCTGTTCGCCGCCGTGGTTTACTCTGTCTTGAGGTATTGGGGAAAGGTAGAGGAACCCAAGCTGGGTGGTTCAGACCACGAGAGTCAGAGGAGCCATTGGTGAGTCAATGATGAATCAAGAGATGAAGCGTATCGCATCTTTGTGCGACGGCTTCGACACGTCTCGTCGGTAAGAAAAAGAAAGGCTCATGAAAGAGGCGGTAAGGATGTGTTGGCGAGGGAGCGCTGGAGCGGGGAGGCCAGCCAGGCTGATCTCCACATGGGACGTTGCGGATGGTGGCATTGGGCGCGCTCACTGACCTCAAGACTCAAGGCTCCAGATTCAAAAGTGACTTGCAGAAGCGAGAAAAGAGCTGGAGCATAGACGAGAAAATGCATGGCATAGGTATCCGTAGTATGGATACCTACTATGTAAGGTAAGAGTGGATGATGGATGGGAAGAAAGTGCAGTGTGCAAAGTGAGTATGAATTATTAGGTAAGCATATAATGAGGCATCCATACATAGGTACTACGTACCTTAGCTTACTGTGCACCTAGTAAGTAAGTAGGTAGGTAAGCGCGGGCAATTTCGACAGGGTGCCGCGGTGGCCGGTCGGACACTTGGACCATGGGAGCTGAGGTGGAAACAACGGACCAGGGAAGCTACAGGGATAGCCGTAGCTGCTGCCCGTCGAGTTCCTTTTCGTCCCAATTGCAGCAATTGCCAATTTCACAGGCAGCTCGCCTCACCCTGTTCACCTCGTCTTAGTGGACCGCAACCGCTGGACGACCCCGCCGCCATCTGAGGTGAGCCCAGCTTCCCCCATGTACCTATTCGCTCCTCCCTCCCTACGCAGTATCCGTAAGGTGTGCTGCGCTGCCAGCTGCCTCTCTGAACCAGGAAGGGCCTAGCTCCCTGTCCCCTTTCCCAGCGCCCATCGTCCCAGATTGTGCGTGAGTGTGAGTGTTCCCCAGCCACCCATTCCCTCCTTGCCTCCCATGGAAGGAAGTCTCTCCCCCCCTTCCACACTTTGAAGGCTTCCCACCACCCCCCGCTCAGTCAGTTTTTTGGGGGAACACCCCCGGGATATAGCTTCACGGCCTGTCCCGCTTCGTCCAGTCGCTTATTCCTCCAAAAAACAAAACAATAACATCGCCAGATTATTGTCTGCGCACTCCAAAGCACAGAGTCTCATTTTTAGTTCACCACCACCACACAATTCGACACCCCACGCCGTCGAAAATTCCGTTATCCAATCGCGCCCGAACCACGAAAGAGCGACAGATGCGCACGGCAGCCTTCCATACGCCTTCGCGACCATGATGCGAGATCCGCGTCGCCGGAGCCCAGAGAGCTCTCGGCGGCGAAGAAGAGACCGCCGTGATTCTCGCGAGCAACTCGCCAGCGCTGCCGACGAGAGCGTCGTATCGAGCATTCCTGGTCCATCATCTCGGGCCCCAACACAACAGCAGCCCCTGCCGTCTGTGTATTCGCCGTCGCAATCGCAATACCCCCAATCCTATACCGAATCTCAGAGATACCCCGAAACCGAGAGATATGCCGCCCCTTCTGAGAGAAACCCCGATCCTCAGAGATATGGCGAGCCCCAACGATACCCCCAACCCGACCAGTACCAACATCACCAATACCACCAGCCGCAACACCAGTATCCCCCTTCCGAGGCCTTCGTCCAGCCTCTAGGCTATGGCGAACCCGAACGACATGCCCGACCCCAGCCATACCAAGGAAATCACCAGTCCGAGAGGATGCGCCCGCGAGGCGGCTCAAGTTCTTCCTCGTCCTCCTCCACCTCCTCCTCTATGCTCAACATTTCAGCAAAGAGCCCCAAGTTTGGCGGCATCTTTAATACTTTCTTTAGAGCCCCCTCTGAGCAGCGCAAACGTCGCAGGAGGAAGAAGCAGAAAGCCCGCATTCTCTCTTTTGGCAATTCCTCCTCCTCGTCCGTCAATTCTGACATGGCTTACGGTCGCGGCTACATTGACCGCGACAAGAGTCAGCTTACGAGCCCCAGGCCACAGGGATACGCGAGCCCCTCGTTGTACCGCGCTGAACCGACTGACGGCCACCAACAACAACCGCGACCCCCTATGCCTCGTGATAAGACCGACGAAGAAATTCTCGAGATTGGACGCCAGCTGCAAGACATTGCGCGCAGGCAGAATGAGCATGATCTCAAGTCTGCTTCCAAGTCACGGGCGTCCCAGCTGGCCGGTACCGCGGCTGGTGCTGCAGCCACAGCCGCCGCCTTCAGCCATTTTCGTAGCAAGAGTAAGAGCGACACCAAGACCAGAGGATCTGGCACTTCCAAACCTAATGAAAACGCTTCCTCCTCGGACGATGACTGGGAATCGGCGTCTGAAGATGAGTCTACTACTACGGATGATTCCGACAACGGCCTAGCGTATGGCTCCTCCATCAAGCCGTCCAAGTCGGCAAGAATCTCAAACGAGCCTCCGGAGCAGATTAAGCCACCCTCGCGGAGGAGTACCATTGTGGACCCACGCCTCTTCGGACCCGTAAACTCTCTTCGTGGCGCCGTCAAAAGCCCATGCGGCTTCGGTGAGGAAGACCCTCGGTCTGCTGGCTCTTCCCGCCGCCACCACGAAGAGACGGTAGCGCAAGTCGAATCGCCAAAAACTGGAAAACAGCCGATGCAGCGTATATATCCCGTGCCGACCTCAGATCCGGACAAGTTCGATTACGACCGTAGCTCTGTAACCTCATCCCGCCAGGATGTCCCTCAGCGTGCCCGGCCCGACCCAGTCCCTATCCAGCAGCCTATTCCCATTGTCCCTCTCCCGTCCAAGGTATACGATGCAGAGAGATTCGAGGAGGAGGAGGAGCGCCGGAACTCCAAGCAACCCCGCCAGCCGCCCAAGGGAAGAAGCGCTGCCGAGAATGCCATCGCTGGCGTAAGCATTGCCGCTGCGGCTATGGGTGTGACCATGGCTGCTAAACGCAGGGACTCGGGCGAGTACATCGAACGTCGAGATGACCGTCGAAGTGAGGTGCGGGACCATCATCGGAATGACTTCCGCGATTCCTGGCAAAGCCGCCGTATAGAGGAAGAGCCCGAACGCCCAGTAAAAATCAAGCTGGAAGACCGCGACCCTCGTGATGAGAACGACCCGCGCCGGAACCATCGACGCAACAACGTTGAGATTGTCGACGATCGGGACAAGCGTCGCTCTGGCCGTTCCGATCCCGTCTATGAGGCCTTGAAGAAGCCCGACGTCGAGACTGACCCTCGCCCTGAGGTGTACAAGCTGCCCCAAGGTGACGAGATCCGAGTTGAATACGACCCAAAAGATGACCGCCGGCCACATGAGGAACCAAAGGAACCTCGTAGGGATGACCGTAAGCCGGTGGTGGTCGTGGATGAACGCCGGGATGCGAAGCGGGTAGAGAAGCCGATTGAGGCGCCCGGAGAGAAACATGGGGTGGAGCATCCCGAGGCCCCCAGTACACAAGCCCCTATTGACCCTTTCCAGTTCCAGGTCGCTGATGATGCCTTCCAAACACCAAAGTACGCCACCCCGAGGAGGCCGCTGACTCCCCAGGTCGTGACCGTCGACCGCGAACCCAACTTTGACGATTCCCCGCCGAGGAAGCCCGACTATTCCGAATCCCGAATGAGCCGCAAAGACTCCTTTGAACTCGAGAAGCGTCTGGAGCAGTATCAGCAAGGAGCACGAGACCGTTCCCGGACCCCTGAGCCGCGCCGCCGGAGGGATTCCCTTCAGGAGGAACAGCATGCTGCAAAGTCTATCTACGATGAGGCCAAGCATGCCACCGTGCCTATAGCCGCGGCCGCCATTGCTTCTGCCATTGCCGTCGAAGAGGAGAGATCGCGCAAGCACCGCAACGATCAAGTGACTGAGGATGGCTCCCGCGACAGATCCCGAGCTACCAAGGATGCCGTTCAAGAAGAGGCCGATCGGTATTACCGTGAGACTGTCATCGCCCGCAAGATCGCCAAGGATGAGATCCGCTCGCGTAGTGCGTCTCCTCATGATGAGTCTGTCGTCGGCAAGTGGCAGGACCACGATGAGGGCCCTGATATCGTCACCATCGTCACGCCGCCCGAGATGGATCATCCTCATGACAAGAGCCCGTACGACGCACCCAACGCCGATGTTCGCATTGATCATGTTATTATCCCCGACGAGCTTGCTCGCTTCCGTCTGCCTCACCGTCAACTCGATCCTGGCGCACAGCCAATCTTTCAGTCACGCGATCCTTCTGCTGAGCGTGAACGACCTCTGCTGAACCTCGTCTTACCCACACCCGTTGTCACCCCACGCCACACGCCCGCTCCTGAGAAACAAGCGGAAGAACAATCCTCTAGTAGAGGTCAAGAGCCTGTTCAACCACGGTCGGTTACTTCAGCTGAGCCACCTTCTTCTGCGACCGCGCCTGCCACAGAAATCGTTTTTGGACCCAAAGGCGAGGTTGTGGAAAGGCCGACAACGCCCACAGCCAAGTCAGTCACTTGGGGCGAGAATGAGACCAAGAGCTTCCAGATCGAGAGTCCAGAACCTCCTATCAAGGAGCCGTCCAGCACCTCTAGTAAGTCGAAGAAAAAGAAGAAGAAATTGGGCAAGAGTTCACCGTGGGGCATCATCGCGGCGGGCGTTGCCGGTGGAGCTGCAGCGGCTGCAGTCTCTGAAGCCTCGGAAGCCCCCAAGATGCGCGATCCTTTCGAGAGCAAGCCTGAAGAGGACAGAGAGAGACACAGCCCCCCAGAGTCACCAAAGTCTCGCAGCGTCGAGCCCATATCACCGATCATCGAAGCTGCCCCGTCTAAGCTCACCACGTCGTTCGAAGATGACGCAGACTTGCCTCCCGCTCCCGGTCCCAAGCCGTCCAGCCCTCAGACATCTAGAATGCCTGGCGCCTTTGCGGATGATCTAGAATTCGCCTCTGTTCTGGCGGCTGGTCTTCAAGACACTGGGTTTGACCCCAATATTGTCATCGACAACCCTACCTACATGCGTCGCGACAGCCCACCAGGACAGAGTGAGCCGGCCGTCTACCAGCAGCCGTTTGCAGAGACTGTCACCGACCTGGGCATCTATGGCCCCGATCATACCCATGATGGGCCTACTGCAGGCGACCGCGGCTTTGTCATTGGCAAGGTGCCAGAAACGCCAGTAGCAGAGAAGGAAATGCACAACGGCCCCGCGACCGACTCCCCTCGTGAAAAAGAGCGTCGTGACAAGGGCAAGGCTAAAGAGGTGCCATACATCGAGCAGGAGCCGCTAGTCGAAGAGGCTGAACCGTCGAGGAAGCTGAGCAAGAAGGAGAAGCGCAAGCAAAAGGCATCAAAAAGGCAAAGCCTCGACAACGCGTTACCTGAAGAGACGTATGATGCCCCCGAGTCAAGATCACAGCCTGAACCTGCTCCTTCGTCTGCACCGGCTCCCGTCTACGAAAGACCACACGGCTATTATGACGTTCCCGAAGCCACATCACGACCTGAGCCCAATCCATTTGCACCGATGGATCATGCATACGCTAGACCTCACAGCTACCATGATGTCGCCGAAGCCGCACCGCAACCTGCGCCAGATCCGTACTCGCAAGCAATGCCTACCTACGATAGACCTCACAGCTACTATGGCGAGCCTACAACGGCTTACCGAGACCATCCTGCTCCCTACGCAGAGACGGGCCCTTCTTATGAGAGGCCACACAGCTATTACGACACCCCTCAAAGCCCGGAAACCGTTGTGGCGCTTGGCCCGAAGACTCGTGGATTCCAAGACGCACCCACCTGGGATTTGCCCACCTCTTCTGCGACAACACACCCTCATGACGAGACTCCCGTCTCCAGAGCGGTGGAATCCGAAGCTGCTCCAACAGACCCTGAAGCCTCCACATCGACGAAAACAAGCAAGAAGGACAAGAGGAAGAAGAGTCGTGGCTCGAGATCTGACATCATCGTCACATATGACGACGATGAGCCAGAAACCCAAGAGCCATCTTCTTACACTGATCCGAGCACTTCCCGCGAGAAACTGCCTGAGAGGGATTCTTACCGGTCTACAGATCCCCAAGAGGCCGGCGACGATGCATGGGATGAGTCTGCGAAGAAGAAGAAGTCCAAGAAATCCAAGCAGAGCTCAGATGAATGGACAGACGTCGAGAAACAGAGCGATTACACCGCGACCCCAACCGTCGAACGAAGCAGCACTCGCGACGATCTTGAAGAATGGGACGATCTCCCGGCCAAATCTCAGCGGGATCGTTCCAAGTTCGAAGAGAGAGATGTGAGCTCTGTAGTATCTGATCCATCGAGCAGACGAGACAAGTCCGAGCGCCGTTCCAAAAGTAGCCGGATTGACGACCGCGACGTGAGCTCAGTTGTCTCTGATCCTGCGAGTAGGCGCGATAAGTCGGATCGTCGATCCCGGAGCAGCCGATACGAGGACGCAGACACCAGTTCGGTGGTCTCTGACCCCTCAAGCCGGCGTGAGAAATCCGATCGCCGGTCCCGCAGCAGTCGCTTCGATGATAGGGATGCTAGTTCAGTTGTGTCCGACCCCGCCACACGGAGCGAAAAGTCAGAACGCCGTTCCAAGAGTCGTCGTGAGGACGATAGAGATGCGGCTTCTGTAATCTCTGACCGTTCGTCTCGTCGTGAGAAGTCTGACCGACCCTCGAATGGAACTCGTTACGACGACGATGCCAAGTCGGTGGTGTCGGAAAGCTCCGAACGTAAGAGACGCAGCCGAGACGACAAGAAGAGTCCCAGGGAAGACGAGAAACGCAGTAGCGGCTTCTTCAACAACCTGTTTGGAAACAGAAGCAGCAAGGATGTTTCCAGCAAGGACGAGAAGTCGTCTTTTTTAGATAATGCCGGCACCCTTGGCGCGGGTGCCGGCTTGGCGAGCGCCGTGGCAGCTTTGGGCTCCATGATGTCCCGCTCCAACGCCACTGAACCGCAGTTGGAAGAGTCGTCAGATGTTCTTCGAGATCGCGAGAGATCCGCCAGTCCCCCGCGAGACCTTGACATCGTCGACCCTGAGATCGTGCCGCGGACTATTAGACCTGCCATCGACCCTCAGTACGGAGATTTCCTCCCCCTGCCACCCAGCCCAATGCCGCCCAGCACCCCTGGCTCTCCCACCCAGACAGACTTGGATGAACTTCCCGCCTTGCCCGACAGCAGGCCGGAGACGCCACCAGAGGAGCGGAGGCGTCAGCACGAGACCAAGACGCCAAAGACCCACGCGCGCAAGCGTAGCAACATGGAAACACCGACCAGAAGCCCAAGCCAGACAGCTGTACCCTTTAAGTTGCGACTGGGGCAGAGGTCGGCACCTTCGTCTCCCGGTACCTTCGGAGTCTCGCCAGTCACCTCCCCAGCAGTACCGACGTTCCCCGAGAACACACACATCACCCCTCCCCACCCCGCTTCCCTGTCCAGGCGCCCCTCGAGGCCCATCTCATGGGAGAACAGTCGCGAGATCAAGCCCCTATACCTGCTTGAACAGGCTCGTCAAGAATCAGCAGCCCAGTCAATGGAGCCACCCATTGATTTCCCGGAGCTGCCTCCGAGCGAGCCGTCATCGCGGGAGTCTCCTGCACCAGAATTCACTCTGCGTGATGAGGATGTGAATTACTTCCATCAACTTCAGGCATCGCCCTTTGAGCCTGACCTTCGTCTTGACACGGATATGTCGCGCTATCCTGAACATACAATGCGCCGTTTCAGCTCGCAGGAAACCACCCCGAAGGCAGAGCACGCAATCCAGCATACTGGTGCCATGTTTGATGCGGCATCGCCTGGTCTTTCCGCGTCTGCAGATACCGCCAGGGGGTTGGACTTGTCAGAGCATGAGCTAGAGAAGCTGCCCGCACTTCCTGCTAGCCCTATGAGATCTCCGGCGACGGCCATTGCCAGTCCTACTCACCGTTCGAACATCCCGGAGTTCAAGCTAGAGCAGCTACCTGCTCTACCCGACAGCCCCGTAACGCACGCAACTGAGATGGCCGAACCGGAACAAGTAGAGACCACGTCCAAAGAAAGAAGTTCGTATCTCCTACACATGACGCCCCCATCAATCATCAAAAATCTAATGGATCGTGACACACCAGACACACCATCAAGCCCTACACTCAACCGATCGCGCGACATTGCCGCCAATTTGACCGAGATTGACCACGATGGCCACTCCCGCGATGATGCTATTGGCGCTTTACTGGGAGGTGCCGCGGCTGGTCTGGGGGCTGCCTATCTCGCGGACCGTCTCAAGTCTCACGACAAGTCGGCAGAGATTGGCCGAGACGCAAAGACCTTGGATGCTCCCGAGCCAGTGGAACTATCCATGGTTGAAGGCAAAAAGTCCAAGAAAGACAAGAAAAAGAAGAAGAAGGGCAAGGATGCGTCAGTCGATGGCTTTACCCTTCCCTCAGATGAGCCTACTTCTCCTGCTCTTACGCCAGATGCCGACGAGGTGTTGGTGTCAGCGGAGCCCCTTGCAATTGACTCCATCGACAAGGGCTTCTTGCCATCAATAGACCAGGCTCGCACCGTGCCAATCGAGGAGCCAGTTCACGCCTCAAATAACAACACTGTTGACGTTGCGCCCGTCAACAGATCTGTGGAGCCCTCGGCCGCGATTCCTTCAGCCGCTGTCTCCTCGAACGATCAGACTACTTTGGATGTCTTACCACCGCTTCCCGATGCGTCAACCGATGAGCATGCGCTTCTCTCAACCGATTTTGGTTCTTCAATTCATCGCGCCGATGACCCACTGCTTTCAACTCAAGATACTCGGTCCATAGAGCCCACTGTTCAGGCACCCCACGCAGTCGAGGAACTTCCAGCTGTGCTTGATGGAAGTGATCACACCGGAAAATCTGTCGCGGAGGAGGACGTGCCTGTGAATCGTAGTGCTCTGGCCGAAGACATTGCTCCCGAAACCATCACACCCGAGCTTTTGCTCCAGGATGACACACCTGAGAAGAAGCTATCCAAGAAGGAGAGAAAAAAGCAATTCAAGATCAAGAAGGCTTGGGAGCAGGCTCAGGCCGAGATGCAGGAGCTCGAACGATCCGCCGAGTCGACTGAGCAGAACAGCAAGGCTGCCTCAGCAGACACAACACCGCTGCCCGCCCTCGCGCCTGTGTTTGAACAGACTGCGGAGACGACTGAAGCCGAGCGAGCCGCGGGTTTCCCGCTACCTGAGGTCTCGGATGAGGTGTTCGAAGCTCCCCTGGAGTCACTAGCTGACGTTCAGCCCACGCCCAAGCCCGAGATTGCTATCGAAACAAAGGCACCGTCCGCTTTCCTACCCACTGTTGAACAAGCGGCGGCTATCCCTCTACCTGATGCCTCAGACGAAGCATTTGATGCTCCGCTTGACTCCTTGCCCTCTATCGAGCACAAGCCCGACACCGCTCCCGATGCAAAGGAACTGCCGAGTTCCTTGCCAATCCTTGAACATGCCGCGGAAACCTGCGAGATCGAGCAAGCTTTAGCTGAACCACTCCCTGAAAGAGTTGAAGACATGTCTCAGTCAAATATCAAGGAGGTGCCTGAAGCGCCGGTCAAGGTTGAGGAGCAAGTCAAGACTGAGGAGGTGCCCAAAAGTGAAGAGGATCCCTTTGCTGGCTTGAGCAAGAAGCAGAAGAAAAAGAAGATGGCAGCAATGGCAGCTGCTACTGCCGCGGCTGCCGCTAGCGCCGCTGCAATTGTCACCAACGAGGCTGACTCTTCTGAAGCCAAGGAACCCCCCATCTCCTCAAGCCTCCTTCCCGAAGCCGTCTCGGAACCGCCAATTGATGCTGAGAAGGCATTGGAGACCATCACGGAAGCCGAAACAGCTGCAAATGTTCCTCTCCCTGGGATCTCGGAACCTGTCCCGGAGACCTCTCACGAGACTAGAGAAGCCCTCGAACCAGTCAGTGCTCCCAAGCAGAAGGAGTTTTCTGTTGTCGAGCTTGCTACTGCTGTTCCACTGCCTGGGCATAATAATGGGTCGCTCGAACCGGAGATTGAACAGGCTCAACCCGAACAGCAAGCTGTGGTTGAAGTGGACCCTTTTGCTGGTCTGAGTAACAAGCAGAAGAAGAAAATGAAGGCTGAGATGAAGGCAGCTGCTGAGGCCCCTGCTGTCGCCGCCGCCGCTGTTGCACCTCCTGAGCATCTTAAGGAGTCGCTCAAACCGGAAGCTTCTCTCGAGCCAGTCGATGCCCCCAAGGAGAAGGAGTCTTCTGATGCCGAGCTTGCTGCTGCCATCCCACTACCTGAGCAAGTCGACGAGCTGCTCGAACCAGAGGTTGAACAGGTCAAGCCTGAAGAACATGAAGAACATGTCAATGAGTTGCTTGACCCCGAATCCGAACAACCCGAATTCGAACAAGCCAAACCTGAAGAGCAGCCCGAGATCGAGGACAAACCAGTGGTCGAGGAGAAGTCGGCGGTCGAGGAGAAGCTAGTGGTCGAGGAGACGCCAATGGTTGACGCGGACCCCTTTGCTGGCTTGAGCAACAAGCAAAAGAAGAAGAGGAAGGCCGAGATGAAGGCGGCCGCCGAAGCTGCCGAGGCTGCTGCCACTACTGGCACTACTGCCGCTCCCGAAGTTGCCGCCGCCGCCGTTCCACTTCCTGATGAGCATGTCAACGAATCACTAGAATTGGAGGCTGAACGACCCAAGCCCGAAGAGCAGCCCGAGGTCGAAGAGAAACCAGCGGTCGAGGAGTCACCAGTGGTCGAGGAGAAGCCAACGGTTAATGCGGACCCCTTCGCTAGTCTCAGCAACAAACAGAAGAAAAAGAAGAAGGCTGAGATGAAGGCGGCCGCCGAAGCTGCTGAGGCCGCTGGTATCGCTGACCCTTCTGCTACCGAACCCGCTGAGGTCAGCAGAGCGGTGGAAATCGAACAACCTGCCGCCGCGTCACCCGCTGAACCCATCGAAGAGAACAATCCAGCCACCGAAACGACTGCTACTCCTGAAACTAGCATCTCTCAAGTCAAGGAACCCACCGAGCTTGAGCAGCCTGCAACCACTTCTCTCCCAGACATCGAGGAGAAGAAGCCTGAAACAGAGCCGGAGCAGCCCAACGTAGAGGAAGATCCGCTTGCAGGTTTGAGCAAGAAGCAGAGGAAGAAGAAACTGGCTGAGATGGCCGCTGCCGCAGAGGCTGCCGCTCAAGCTAGCGCTGCTCAAGCCAGCAAGAGTCCTGAGCCGTCAGAAGTCCTTCCTGAGCCTTTTCTGGCACCCCCTGTCGATGTTCAGGAGGCCAGAGACACGGATGAAGCTGAAAAGCTGCCGGCACTCCCGGTCACGGAGGAGCCGGTTCCCGCCCCCGTCCTAGATGCGGCCCAAGAACCATTGCCCGAGGTCAAAAATTCCAAGGAGGGAGTCGAGACTGAACTGCCTGCCTCCCCTCCAGCTCCTGAGGCTTCAATCACCGACACTAAGAAGGGTAAAAAGAAGAAGAAGGGCAAGAAATCTCTGGATGCGACAAACGAACACCTTCTATCTACTTCAGCCCCCGAGCCCTCAGCTTTTTCTTCCCAACAAGGCACTCCTACATTGGACATCGAGGCAAGGTCTCTTGGCCCCGCTGACGACATTGCATCCGTGCAACAAGAGTCCATTTCCGAAGCGCCAGAAACCAAATGCGCTGAGATCCCGCAAAGCCTCCCTGACCAGCGACTCGATATCCGAGGGCCCCATGAAAAGCTCGACACACCATCGGAATCACTGCCGCACCTCTCCGAGTCTAACGATAAGTCAGTCGACCCATCCGACAGCTTGGCTGAGCAGCAGATTGCAACTGTTGACCAAGACGTCAAGCCTGGCGACACCGACGTGGCGGCCATTGACAAGACTCAGCCTGTACCTCTAGCACCAGAAGAAAGTCAGGTCACGCTTGAAGACGACCCCTGGCAGCTAGACGAGGACCCATGGCAACAGCAGCTTCCTGTCTCTGGTCAAGAAGACATATCTGCTTCAAAGAGCGACGAGGTTTCGCAGCCGCCGGCCGCCGATCAAATCATCGATGACACCCGGATTGAATCGCGAGAGGCAGAGGTCCTGGTTGAGGCCGAGTCTACTCCCTTGTCCAAAAAGCAGAAGAAGAAGCTGAAGAAGTCCAAGAAGGAGCAGATTGCTGAAGCTTTGAACGAACCTGAAGCAAAGCCTTCTTCCACCGAAACGGCTGCAAGCACACAACCTTCTGCTGCGGAAGTGGACTTGGTACCGACCGATAACGACACTTCTTTAGCTGTCCTCGCAGAACCTGCTGCCGACAATGCACCAGTCGAAAGGCCCATCGCAAAAGTATCGGAGGAGACGTCCGTCTTACCCGATACTGAACCAGATGCTACCACCATACCTCTTCCAGAGGATGATGCCGACTTCGTTGAGCAGACCCACCGAGAAATCATTGCCGAAGCGGATGCTGCAGGAGTGCCTCCTCTGGAAGACGCTGCCGAAAAGCCCGAGGTATCTGAGCCAGCTCCGGCTGAGAAGGATGCAGCTGCGGTCCCTCTTGCGGAGGATGTTACCGAAAGAGCCTCCATCACCGCGCCTGAAACTCCTGACAACGTGCCAGCAGTTGTTGACAACGCAATGGCAAATTCTGAGCCTAGTCTCATGGAGCCGCCACCGGCTGAGCCTATTCAACCTGAGGTATCTGGCAAGAAGAAGAAAAAGAAGAAGAAGGGCAAGGGTGCTTCGCTATCACAGCTGGACGACGTGATGTCGTCTGAGCCGACACCTCTCCAGTCCACAGGTATTCAGACTCCTACCGCTGAAGCTCCCATCAACAAGGCTCCCGTCAATGAGACTGCCGCTACCAATGTCCTTATTGGCGAAGGTCCCGTCATCGACACCCCGGCGTTCGATGCTTGGGGTATCGAGAGCCCTGCTCCTGAGTACTTTGCCAACGCTCCTGCCACTGAAGCTCCCTATGTGGAGACTCCTTCCGTCAAGACTCCTTCCGTCGAGACTCCTTCCGTCGAGACTCCTGCCGTTGAGACTCCTATCGAGACTCCGGCTGCTGAGACTCCGGTCGCTGAGACTCCGGTCGCTGAGACTCCGGTCGCTGAGACTCCGGTTGTTGAGACCCCGAAGGTTGAGACTTCGACAGCGGCGGCAGAAGCGCCCGTCTCGAAGGTTTCAACTACAGATGAACTCGCTGGAGACCCGTCCAGCGAGAAAACCGTTACCGATACCGACGCCTCTGAAAATATTCTTGTGAACGCACAACATCAAGAAGATAGCAACCTTCAGACGGCCAAGTCGGACGTGCTAACCGAAACGGCCCCAGTCACTGCGAACACTCCCGAGACTCCTACATCTCCTTCAGCTCCGGCCGAGGAGACCTCCAAGTCCTCCAAAAAGTCGAAGAAGCAGAAGAAGAAGGACAAGAAAGCAGTCGAAGAGAACATCCAGTTGCCCGCAGTCATCGACGAAGAGCTCCCTGCCGAACTCGCGGATACTATCGCATCCAATCCACCGATTGATGAGAAGTCATCTGCGACTGACGTGCAGAAAGCCGATCAATCGCAGGAAATTGATGCCAAGCCAACAGATTTTGCTGAAGAGGAGGCAACTCAAGTGGAACCTCAAACGCCAACAATGACCGAAAGCCAGGACGAGGCTTTCCTCACACCTCCGCAAGGGCCTGCGACTCCCATTAGCCCAGACGAGGTTTTCGAGAATGCTTCTCAGGAGCCGACACTTGTTGACAGCCAAGTTGACTTGCTTGAGTCCAAACCGCAAGAAACCTTCGCCGAGGACCAGCAGAATCGTGGTCCGGAGTCTCCGGCTGAACCCGAGACAACATCATCCAAGAAGAGCAAGAAGAAGGCCAAGAAGGCTGCTGCTGCCGCTGCTGCCGCTTTCGCTGCTGCCGCCACATTGGAGCCAGCTGTTGAGGACGCTACCAAGGATTCGGACAAGAAGGATACTAAGGACGAGACGGTTACGGATGAGTCGATCACAGACAAGACGGTCACAGACATTGAAAACCCCAACACGACCATTTCAGACAAGATTGGGGAGATGGAGCAATCATCGCAAGAACCCACCGCGAGCGGAGAATTCGCTACGGACAGCAAGATTTCAGAGGAGGCAGACCCAGGACCAACTGTTACCAAAAAGGGAAAGAAGAAGAAGAAGGGCAAGAAGTCTTCCACCCTGGACCCGGAGAGTTCCCTCGAAAACTCGGCAGATGTAGCGAATACAAGAGAACAGTCCGCTTATTTGACCTCTCCATCGGGAGAGCCTAGCAGTGACGAAATCCCCTTCCCGCAAGCAGGCACGCCGACAGAGGCTGAGTGGCCGACTGCTACAACTGCGGGCAAGAAGAAGAGGAAATCCGTGACCTGGGCACCTGAACTGGAGTCTTTCTCGACCATTGTTGAGCCTGAGCCTGAAATACCTCATGAAGATGACAACGGCTTGGAGACGGCAAGCAACACCGAAAGCGACTCCATATCTGAGGCATCTTCCGCAGTCGAGCCAAGCTCGGTTCAGGATGCGTCAAGGGCAGGGAAGTTGCCCGAAGCAGGCAGTCCAGGCGATGTTCCGACCTCGCAAGGTTTAGACGAGGACGTCGACCAACAAACAGCCACATATGTGGCGGAGAAGGATCTCGACTCTGATGGCCAAGCACAAGTGCACCCTGCAGGCGAGCCCAGTGAGGAGGCCCTGCCCACACTGCAAGACACAACCGCGAACCCCAGCGATGATGTTCCGTCATCTACTGGGCTGAACACAACCACGCGGGGAGTTGCAGGCGAGCCAATGGATTCTCTGACCCGGGAGCCTTCAACGCCTGCCTTTTCCAGTGAAGGCGGCGCTGAAGTGGCCAACGAGAAGGGCGGTGAGACATTAGAGCGGAAGCACGAGGTAGACGCGGAGCAGGTGGCTAGGGCCCAGGCTGGTGCTACATCGGACCCCGAAGCTGCGGGCCGCCCTGACACCATTGACGAACCATCAGCGGGATCCAACGCTCAAACGGGAGAGGTCGGCAGCCAGGACCCCGGCCTGCATGCGGGTGTGGAGCCGATTGACGACAAATTACTGGAGAACACGCAAAACTGGCGGATAGCGGATGCCCAAGCCGTGGGACCGGCCCTCACCGACTCGGCCCTGGAGCGTCTGGAGGCTGGAGACCCACTTCAACCCCCGGTCACAGCCTTGGCGAACCAAGACACAAACACGGCGATCCCCCAACCTCTAGGACAGGGCACACAGGAGGGACAGGTACCCAGTCAGACATCATTGGAGGTTGGCAAAAAATCTGACGCGGGGATTACTGACTCTACTGCCGAGACCGAGACCCTTCTGCAAGACGTTCAACAACTAGACAAAATTTCAGACGTCGAAAAGAAGGAAGAAGAAAAGAAGGACCAGAGAGACGAATTCGATTCTCTCGCCGCCAATGTTGGATTCTCGGGTCAGTCAGATCTATCGGAATCTTTGGGTCAACCGATCTTGCCGGAGCCGCAACTAGAGCCGCTTTCGGAGACTCTTCCCGGCCTTGAACCAGCAGGGGACCCGAGTACCACTCACGACCCCCAACAGACCGAGACACAAGTCGGTCAGGGAGACGACGTTGTTTCTGAGCCCTCAAGCTCGAGCAAGATGTCCAAGAAGGAAAAGAAGAGCAGCAAGAAGAAGACCAAGGCTGCAACATCTGAACCAATTTCTCAGGATGATGCCCAAAATCTCAAGTCACCGATGGTGGACGACGGAGCCCCGGCTGTCAGGGCCGTTGACGAACCAGTCCAAGCACCGGAGCAGGCGGGGCCGGATATCACGGACGCCCCGGAAGCAACCACCGTAAGAGAAGCAATTGAGGCTGGCGAGGATGAATGGGCAATTCAACCAGCTGGCAAGAAGAGTAAAAAAGACAAGAAGAAGAAGGCTGCAGCTCAGGCATCTGCTGCAGGGGAAGAGCAGAACACCGAGCCTTCGCCTGCGCCTGAAACGCGCGATAATACCGCCGAGCCTGCAGCGCCTTTACAGTCTTCAGTAAACGAAGCCTCCAAGGGCGATGATGCTGGCGACCACAAGTCAACAGAGGAGTCTGCGAACACCCCGGAGAGTGCAGAGCCCAAGCAAAGCGAAGAGGTTCAAGCCCCGGCGGAAAGCACATCAGATGAAGTCCAAAGTTCACCACAGCCAACGACAAAGGATGAGCTTCCAGCTGAACCAGCAGAGGCTGACATCAATGACTTTGAGCCGACGAAGAAGAGCAAGAAGGACAAGAAAAAGAAGAAGAAGCAGCAAAGTCTTTCATTAGATGACAGCCAGGAACTTCCCCAACCGGAGACTCCGCTAGAGGAATCTTCCTCTGCTTCACCTCACAGCGCCCTTTTGCTTGGCGACGCAGCACAAATGCCATCTGAAGATGTGCAAGCTTTATCAGAGCCAGCGTCCAAAAGCCCGTTAAAGGCCGATGCTCAGCACGACTCGACTTCGAAGTCTCAGGAAGCACCACCGGCCCAGGACTCACCAGCAACTTTGCAGCCTACCGACCTGGAAGCAGGAGCCTCCTCTGCCCCTACGGCTGAAGAATCCGAAGTCAAGCAAGAACTGCCATCAGAGCATTCCGGCCAAACTGATTCTTCTCCAGCAACGCTCGAGACACCTGCAGATAATACCACTCCACTTGCAGAGGAAGAGTTTCCAGCTGTCACCAAGAAGTCCAAGAAGGATAAGAAGAAGAAGAAGGGTCTTGCTTCCGACACCCAAGATGAGCCGCCAGCCACCCCGGAACCGCAGCTCGTGGCAGAGGAGATTGGCCTGTCAGATGCGCCGCAGTCTTCTGAGACGTCAACAACGCCTGCTGTGATACCAGCCGCAGAGGAGTCAAGGTCCAAAGCCGTGGAGGAGGTGGCCACCCCACTTGAGGCAGCGGCAAACACTGATTCACCAGCTGTTGTATCTGAGAATCCCATCTCTGAGAACCAGACGCCGACTACTGCGGAGGAAGAGCTTACTACCTCGAAAAAATCGAAGAAGGACAAGAAGAAGAGCAAGAAGGACACCGCGCCAGATATTCTGGAGGATTCTCCTGCTCCAGGGGCAGAAATCACGCCTGAATCGATACCCACATCGCAGGTGGAGGAAGCTCGCGAAGAAGCAGTCGTTCTTGGTGATGAGGTGATCGCCCAACCGAAGGACATCGCGGAAGAGCCCATAGTCACGACTGAGATTCCCGAGCAGCAAACGGAGGTATCTGTCAAAGTAGAGCCTGAGCAAGAAAAGGGTATCGAAGAGACGGCGCCTCTAGAATTTGAGCAGCCCAAGGTCGAGGAGGATCCCTTCAAAGGCATGAGCAACAAGCAGAAGAAAAAGAAGAAGGCAGAGATGGCCGCTGCTGCTGCCGCACTGGCCGTTGCTACTGAAGCCGCTGCTCAGGAATCCACGCCTGCCGCCGAGCAACAGATCGTCGACTCCACGCCTGCTACTCTTGAGACCCCGCCAGAGGCGCAACCTACTGAGGAAACCGCTGCCGAGGGACCTTCTGCGCCAGAGCCGCAAACCGCAGATGAATTCAAGACGCCAGAGGTAACACCAGAGTCGACGAAGTCTGAAGAGGATCCGTTCAAGGGTATGAATAAGAAGGAAAAGAAGAAGAAGAAGCTGGCCGAGATGAAGGCGGCCGCTGAGGCTGCTGAGGCTGCCGCCACTGTCGAGGCTGTCGAAGCCGAGAAGCCCACAGAGGACAGCGCTGCCGCTGAGAAGCCTGTCGAGGCGCACCCCACAGAGGACTTGCTTGCTGAGAGAACCTCCACCGAGAAGGGGCTTACTGAGAAGGAGCCTGCCGTTGAGAAGCCGGCCGATGAGAAGTCTGCCGATGAGATCCCCATCGAGACACATTCCACAGACGACACGCCCGGGCCGGAAACTACCACCAAGGACAAGGCGCCTGTCGAAGAGATGACTTCTGACAAGACTACGATTGAGACGCCGGCCGAGGAGCAGTCCGCCGTGGAGCTCGAACGCGCGGCGGAACCAGAAGTTGTGTCAGAGGCAGTACCAGAGCCAGCCAAGGCAGACGAAGACCCTTTCAAGGGTATGAACAAGAAACAAAAGAAGAAGAAGATGGCCGAGATGGCTGCCGCCGCCAAGGCTGCCGAAGCTGCTGCCGCTGGTGAGACTGTCTCGGAGGCCCAACGAGTACCTTTTGAGCCTGCTCCAGCCAAGCTTGTCGACGAGGAGCGTGTTGTTGAGGCGTCTGCTGCCAAGGAGGCTGCAGCTGAGTCGAAGTTCGTGCCTGAACCGGAGCTCGAGCAGCCTCAAGTCGAAGAGGATCCTTTCGCTGGCCTGAGCAAAAAGGAAAAGAAGAAGAAAATGGCTGCAATGGCCGCTTCTGAGGCCGAAGAAAAGGCAGTTGAGCAGATAGTTGGTGAAGACAAGGTTGCCGATGAGATACCTACGGATGTAGCTGTTGAAGAGATGCCTGCTCAAACCCCACCTGCCGAGGAGTCGACTCTTGCCGACAAATCCACCGATGAGAAGGCTGTCGAAGATGCGCCTGTCCAAGAGGTGCCCCAGGACGAGGCTCAGGACGAGGCTCAGGACGAGGCTCAGGACGAGGCTCAGGACGAGGCTCAGGACGAGGAGGACCCCTTCAAGGGCATGAACAAGAAGCAGAGAAAGAAAAAGATGGCCGAAATGGCCGCTGCTGCAAAGTTGGCTGCAGCCACTACGGTTTCCGAGCCTGCCACTACTGAAGCTCCACAGGTCCCTGAAGAGAAGCCCGAGGAGGTGGCAGCTGAGAGCAAGATCGTCGAAGAGACTTCTGCAGAGGCAGCTGCCGAAGAGAAGCCCAACAACAAATCCGAGCCGGCATCACCTAATGTCGAGGAGGACCCTTTCAAGGGCATGAATAAGAAACAGAAGAAGAAGAAGATGGCCGAAATGGCAGCAGCTGCTACTGCTGCAGCCGCCGCCGGAGTCATCGTAGCTGAAGTCAAAGATGTCCACCACGACAAGGCTGCAGAGGACAAGGCAGACATCTCATCCGAGCAACCACCCGCATCTGAAGCAGAGACTGCCGCGACGTCTGAGGAAGCTCCTAGGGATGTTGGTCCCGAGCTTCGCGATGTGAATCAGGCGCCAGAAAAGGCTGAGAACCAGGTCGATACTTCCGCAATCCCGGATGTCAATGTCGATGACGAGTTCCCGATAATCGAGAAGAAGGCGAAGAAAGATAAGAAGAAGAAGGGCAAGGTTTCGGAAATCGTCGAATCCGGCCTTTCGATTGAGACTACCGCCCAAGCAAACGAACCTGCCGCAGAGCCTTCTATCGAGGCTGTTGCCGAGACAATCTCAGTGCCTCTGCCGAGCAATCCTCCTGTAGCTACCGAGCGCACAGATGTGGCAGCAGAGGAGCCTTCTACACCAGCCACAATTGAGCAATCTGCCGATCGATCGATGCATCTTGAGAGCCCCAAAGCACCTATTGAGGAGCCAGCCAAAGAGGTCATCGAAGCAGTGGCAACAGACGAGCCTCACCTGGATGCCGATATTTCTGCTGCCCAGGAGTCTTCTAAGCCTGTGGAGGACGACTCATTCCCGAAGCTGTCCAAGAAGGATAAGAAAAAGAAGAAAAAGGGCAAGCTTCAAGACGACTCGAACCCCCTCTCTGGAACGGCAACACTCACCGCCTTGGAGCCTTCAGATCCCCTTGATGTGTCTACTCCCGATGTTCAAGGAGCACCAGCCGCCGCTACCACCGATGTTCATGCATCTGACCCAACCGAATCGACCAAAGAAACCTCGGTAGACATCTCGGAACCCCAAGCAGATGCCGTGACTGCAGACGCCAGAGAGACGGCAAAGGTGGAAAACGAGCTCCCTTCTGCTGTCAGTGAGGCCGAGGAGGTGCACTCAGCAACCGCAGAGTTGCCGACCATTGATACAGATGTTACTTCAGCTCCAGTTGCAGACTCTTCCGCTGAGATTGCCGCTGTGGCTCCCTTCGAGACCCCTGTTGAGGCTTCCGCCGAGATTCCAAACATCGACGACGAATTTCCAGCCTTCCAGAAGAAGTCAAAGAAAGACACGAAAAAGAAGAAGGGCAAGGTTCAGGATGACATTGGGATCACATCGGGAGCTCTCACCCCAGCTGAGGTACTCGAAGCTGAGAGTCAGCAAATGCAGCTGCCCAATGTCTCTGTCGAGCCGGTCGAGACTCTTACAGAGGCCAACTTACCCTCGGCTGAGCCAACCTCCGCCCCAATTCAAGAGGTGGAGGACCGTTCCGTAGCGGACACTCTCGCACCAGCGCAGATGCCCTCGGCTCAACTGGAGACTGCCATCGATGAAGATTCCATTGTTGAGGACTCCCAGCTTCCAATCAACGCACAGGTTGACGAAGAATGGCCAGAGAACGCGCCCGTCAAGAAATCTAAGAAGGACAAGAAGAAAAAGAAGGGGTCTATGGCCGAGGAAGATTTCGATCTTGCATCTGGGACCGAGACCCCGATGGGGACCACTGTCGAAGACAACAAGAAGGAAGTAGCACATGTTGACGATGCCACAACTACCGACAGGTCCCTGACCTCTGATAACAAGACGGCATCAGATATCCCCCTTGCTGAGGCCTTAATGGAAGCGCCACTTGAGGCTGACTCTGCACAAGTACCAGCTCAAGAGGTAGCACAGCCTTCGTCATTACAGGATGTCTCACACGAACAGTTGGTGACAGACCTACAACAACCTTCTCCTGCACTCTTGGCCGAGAACCAGCCTGAGCCATCAGCTTCGAAATCTATCGAGCCTGAGCCTGAGAAGACTGCCGAGGAGCCGTCAGAGTTAACAGTCAAGAAGTCTAAGAAAGACAAGAAGAAGAGGACGTCTATCTTGACCGATCCTGAAACCCCCCCTTCAACTGCTGAGAAGCAAGTGGCCACCTTAGAACACACTGCCATCGATTCTGTCAAAGAGTCAAGCACTACAGAACCCATCTTGGAGAGCTTGGCCGTCGAGCCTGTGGAGGAAACAGCCCTGCCTACTGAGGAGTCGGCTTCAGTGATTCCGGAGACTGAGCCCACAACTGTCCACTCCCAAGACGCCCAGCCAAGACATGTTGCAGAGTCAGACGTGCCAACGACCACTCTGGACCTCCAACCCAAGCCAGAAGCGCTGAACAGCCAATCTGGCGCTGCACCTCGGACTGAGCAAGAAACCGTCGCTCCCATCGCAGCCGAGAGCTTGCCCGAGGGTGCTTCTGATCAAGTCCGTTCAGTCGAAAGTTCCAACGTCGTGGCCGAGCCAGAGGCCGCAGCCCCTGCTGATCTCGACGATTTCATGCCTGCGAAGAAGAGCAAGAAGGACAAGAAAAAGAAGAAGCGACAGAGCCTGGCATTCGACGATGCCGAACTCGAGTCGCCCCTGGCTTCTGGTACGGCAACACCTAAGCTTGAGTCAACGGAGCAGCAAGAAACCGAGCGAGCTTTAGATCAACAGCCTCTTCCAGTGGAAGATATCTCGCGACATGAGGACCATGCTTCGAGCGACAAGCCAGCCTTCACAAGGGATGATCTCACAACAGACAGATCCCTCGATTCCACTTCATTGCCTCAATCCCTGCCCACTCTCGACGCCTCAGCTGGCCCCCAAATGGTGGACATCATGGAACCTGAACGCCATGAAGATCTCAATCAAGTCCAGACAATCTCCGACGACACACCGGCTGCTGAATCTACGCCGCATCAGGTTGTCGGTGTTGAGACGGTCTCTGCTGACCGGGTGGATGGAGTCTTGCCTAGCGCCCCAATGGATGTGACTGAGCAGGACAACAAGCGCTCCATGGAGGCAACGAGCGCACCAGATGTCCGTGAAAGTGCAATCCCTGAGGAACCTGAGGAGACCTTCGTCATCAAGAAGTCTAAGAAAGACAAGAAGAAGCGCGCCAGCCAGGTGCAGTTTGAGGAGCCGGCCACGCCCATCCTCGAGACCACCGAAGCTTCTGGGCAAGCCGCCTTTGCCGAGCCGGGGCCTGGGGTTGTCCCTCGGGGGGTCCTTCAGGAGCCTGAAGTCGTTGACGTTGCGCCGCAAGAACCCATTGCGGAGGAGTTCGTCTCCAAGAAGTCTAAGAAGGACAAGAAGAAGACCAAGAGACTATCCTTTGCGGATGAGCCAGAAACAATCGTTGAGGAGCAGACCAGCGCCCCAGTCTTTACTGAAGGCGACTTCACCGCATTGGGGACGTCAAAGAACCTCCCAGACACCGCTGCCGAGACTGATGTTGCGAAGAGCTCTATTTCTCTGGAAGATCCAGGTTATCAGACAGCGGTGATGCTCGAAGCAGAGTCAACAACTCAGCCCGTCGTTGCTGGTGATGATGAATGGGACATTCCCGTCACCAAAAAATCGAAGAAAAACAAGAAGGGCAAGAAGCAGTCAATTTCACTGGACCGCTCTCCCATTAGCGCCAACTTTGAGTCTGAACAAGAAACGATTGTGCCTGGACCTAGCCGAACTGAAGATACGAAAGACACGGTTGAGTATTTCGACAGTGCACCTCGCGAAATCACTCGAAGTCCTTCAGCGCCACCGCCTCCAGAAACCGCATCAGCCATCGAGTCACCTGCAGGCATAGTTCCCGAGTCTGTTGGTGTTAATGTCTCGTCCCCTACTTCGAACAAGTCAGTAGACATCGATCTCACTCCCGCACAGGAGACCAGCAACGTCGTTCATGAACTGCCCTTCGATCAGCCAAACAAGCGCAAGAAGATGAAGACGAGAGAGTTATCCGACACTCTCCTCCCCGAGCCGATTGTCAGCTCTAGGGATGTTGCTGCTGCGTACTTTGATGACCGCGAGACTCCAGCTGCGGGCATCAGCAAGATTGAGGATGAGCTCCCTACCCCGGAAGCTGATCTACCTCGTGAAAAGGATATTACTGGATCAAGCGCAGGCAAAGATGAGCCTCCTCGGGAACCAGAACCAGCTGCATCCCTAGACATCGCTGCTTCGTACATGGAGCACAAGTATGACCATAAGCCAGAAGGATCTGTTCAGCCAATCACACCAGAGAGGAAGGCACCCGAGTCACCAGGCATTGGCGCCGCGGTCGGGGCAGCAGCACTGGCGGCCAGTGCAGCAGCCCTTGCTAGCAAATCGAGCAGCGGTAAGAAGAAGAAGAAGGGAAAGAAGTCCAAGTACGAAGACAAGCGCGCGGCACAAGAGGAAGACATGTTTGATGATCCTTCTCTCTGGGAAGGTGCCGATAGGAAACATGTCAGCGAGATTGCAAGCAAAGAGGTGGAAGGCTTTTGGGGCGGTGGTGAGGATGTGGCCGATGACCAGCTACCTGAGCAATCGACAAGAACAAGCATGATGGCGGACGACGTTTTTGGTCCCTCGCTTCAGCAACAGGAGGGCGTCCCCATTCAAGCACAGGAGACTATCATCCATGAACAAGAGCCCAGCGCGTCTCCAGTATCTCGAGGCTTGGTAGAAGACATATTGAAAGGAAGGTCACAGGAGGAGGAAAAGGCCAAGGACATTCTGAGTCTCACAGCACCGCTCAAGGAGAGGGCTCAAGATGACAACATTGAGAGCCCGATTCTTGGCAGAGAAATCGGAACAGAGCAAGTGAGCGAGCCTGCCAACATCACGACACAACAACGCTCATTGAGCCGGGCTACCAGCTCACCCATGACAAGCACCATGGTCAGCGATATGGATGAAGCAGTCGATCGTGGTTTCGAGGCTGAGGCCCGTCGCGACCTATTCGTTGGACGTTCACCAAAGAGCCCTGAGCGGACCTTTGAGATGAGCGGTTTCCGGAGCCCGGTGCCGAGCATCTTGCCGCCTGTTCAGGAGGAGGGTCACGATGGAAGCGATATCGAACCTCGATTGTTGTACAGACCTGCTTCTCGCACAACCACGGGCTCACCTGACCCAACCCGAGACAGCGGGTTTGTACCCAGCTCGCCTCACCCTTTCAGAAGAGCAGGTTTCGACAATGAGGAGCAACGAGACAGCGGAGTTCATCTTCGCGACTGGCAAGAGCAAAGATCACCAGGCCGCGATGGACAACGGACTCCGGAGTTGAGGGTTCACAGAAGCGAAAGACGACGATCTAGAGAGCTGGAGAGAGCAAGGTCGCCGGAGAAGACATCACTGATCGAGGGAGAGGCTCGCGATCACCCACTTTCCAGGACACCCGTACTGCGGGAACCTGCAGGAAGGGAATTGACTCCAGAGCCGCAGAAGCACAAACGGGGCATCAGCCCAGAGCTTGAGAGACGAAGAAACAAGTATCAGGACCTGGCGTCGGCTGCCTTGGCTGGTGCAGCAATCAGCAGCACAGTCTCGTCACCGCGCAGCACTCCGCCACCAGGTAATCGCAGCGTTTCCGACAGGGTCGCACGGCTGCAGTCGCCAGCACCTACAGAGCCTATAGCGCGCAGGTCCATGTCCAACAGCAGCCTGTCACGGCACCGGCGGGCCACTGGGGCGCTAACGCCAGAACCACTCAAGTTCCGGCCTGAGAGCCCAGGCATCCAACGATCAGGCACTGCCACCCCGCCTCTTCGCCGGGTCGACAGGCGTGTAAGCGGAGACTTGCGATCCATCAGCCAACGAAGTCAGCTTGACCTCAACAAGGACCCCAAGGACCGGACCAGCTCCTCCAACACCCCCGTCGCCAACGAAGGTCGTGTCCGTACCAAGGACATGGCCGACGTCTTCGTAAGTAACGCACATTTTTTTATCTAATATTTCTCCCTACCTGCTTGATTGCCTCACCGCCTGCGATTCCCAGGTGGTGTTTGTTTTTGCTGGAAGCGCTTGTGATAGCATCTCCAGCCACCGACACGACGAACTTTGACTGACCTTCAATCGTAGGATGGATTCGGTGAAGGCCGCATCGGCTCTCCCCGATCGCCTACCCGTCCACACAGCATGCGGCGTCGCCAGAGCATGCAAGTCCTCGAGCTCGAGTCCCGTGTCGAACAATTGATGGCGGAGAACCGGATGCTCACAGACGCCCGATCCCAGACCGATACCCACAACAGCAACAGAGCCTCTGGCATTCTGGCAGAGCGCGATGCCGAAATCGACGTTCTCAAGCAGTCGCTCGAATTTCTACAAAAGGAGGTTGCCCGATTGACAGAGGTCAATGAAGGCTTGAACAGCGCCAATACCCAACTTGCTGCCCAACACAATGAGCGATACCGATCATTGGAGACCCAGCACTCTGATGCCTCCCGGCAATTGGAGCAAGCGCGCACCGAGCACAACCACTTCCAGGAGTCACTCCTTCAAAAGGATGCCGAGATTGGCCGCCTACGCTCTGAGCTCGATGCGGCCAAGGACAAGATCCGACAGATGCAGCGCCAGATCCTGGCATCCAAGGGCGCTGACAGCGACTTCCTCAATGTCAAGGATGTCGACCACTTTGACCACAGATGTCAGCAGCTCTGCTCTCACGTACAACAGTGGGTTCTGCGCTTCTCAAAGTTCTCTGACATGCGCGCCTGCCGCAAGACAAACGAGATCAATGACGAAAAAGTCATTGACCGTCTCGACAACGCCATCCTTGATGGCACCGACGTGGACACTTACCTCGGCGACCGTGTTAGGCGCCGAGATGTGTTCATGTCCATGACGATGAACATGATTTGGGAGTTTGTGTTTACTCGTTACCTCTTTGGCATGGACCGCGAGCAGCGACAAAAGCTCAAGTCGCTGGAAAAGTTGCTTACCGAGGTCGGCCCTCCCCCGGCCGTCCGACAATGGCGCGCCGTCACCCTGACGCTGCTCTCCAAGCGCCCCAGCTTCAAGCACCAGCGCGACCTCGACACTGAGGCCGTGGTCCAAGCCATCTTCCAAACGCTGTCCAGGGTCCTCCCTCCCCCTTCCAACCTGGAGGACCAGATCCAATCACAGCTGCGCCGCGTGATGCGGGAGGCCGTCGACCTCTCCATCGAGATGCGCACCCAGCGCGCCGAGTACATGATGCTCCCGCCGCTGCAACCAGAATACGACGCCGACGGCGAGCTCGCCGAGACTGTCACGTTCAACGCGGCACTCATGAACGAGCGCAGCGCCGACAAGTCTGCTACCAACGAGGCCCTCGAGGCCCAGAGCGCCGTTGTGCGTATCGTCTTGTTCCCGCTCGTCGTCAAGAAGGGCGACGACGGTGGTAACAATGACGACGAGATTGTTGTGTGTCCTGCCCAGGTGCTGGTGGCTCGGCCCAAGGGCAAGTCCGTTAGGCTGTTTACGCCCGGGAGCGACGCTGGCGGTGCGTCGCTCAGCGGGCAGACGGCGGCCACGCGCAGCGATCTAAGCATGGGTACTTTCTTGCCCGAGCAAGCCTCCAACTTGCGATAAAGGAGCTTGCCTTGGCGATGAGTACCATGCCTATGTGTGAGAGAGAAGAGAGAAAGTAATATGCGAAGGGAAAAGATGGGTGTGGTATAGATGTAATGGCACGGGTGGAGGTCCCGGAGAACGGGTTGTGGGACAGTACATTATATGGGACGATTAAGTACATTGGTGTCAAGGGAAACGGGGATACCAAACAAACAAGAACAAACTCCAGATTACGACGTTTACGAAATATTCCCATTGTTCTGGCACATTGGGAGAGGGGACAGAATGGGACGGACGGGCAGGGAAGGAAAGGCTAAAAGACTGGCTTGTGTTTTTTTTGTTTTGTTTTTTTCATTATTGCAAAGTGCACGACGATACCTCTTGGGTTACTACTATTTCATATTTCACATTATTTGATCTCACCCAATCATGAAGAAAGTTCCCGTTGCAGTTTGTGCTGTATCGGTTGATTCCCTTTTGCTCCAACGATTGGACATAAATTAGTGAGTTCCAATGTCAAGTAAACTGACTGTCCTGGTAGAGAAGATTTGGCTCCTGTAAGAGATGACTTCTATTACGCTCTGCCTCATGCAAACACATCACCTACATCATCCCCCCACTAAACTCCCTCTAGGCATTTCAGTCGTTCATGGTGAACCATTAGTACAACCATCCTCCATTGCTAGTCCTCCTCTATTAACACTCGTGATCAAGGGATGTCTTCCCATTCGTGAAACTTTTCTCCCCTTGTGGAAGACTTCGCCCCCATCAAACTCCGCGTTACGCATAAATCAAACCAAACAGGCGTAAATCAAAATAGCCGTGGTATCGTGGGATCTTTTGAGCTCCAGCAGCTAGCAAGCAGTAGCTTTCCAACGCATCGAACGTGGTCGCGCAAATGGTCGAATACATTGAAGCAGGAAAATAAGCATAAACAGCAAGGAATATGCCCTCTTATATTAACGCTCATCGTTGAGCCCAGTGGAACCCGTTCACCAACCCGAGCGTTGGGTCGTTGTAGCCGGCAATGTTCAGTTCGCCCGTGCTAGGATCATGAGGGAATAGACCGTTGATGATATCCTGGAGAGAGATAAACAGTCAGCAAATTGCGAATCACTTGTGTTGCGGCACGAGATGGACTTACCCAGTCTACACTCTCGAGAGGGTTCATCATATTCATCGGTTGCGAGGGCCTGTGACCACCCATACTAGCCCCGTCGCTGACACTCTCCGGACTGTCCGCGTTTACAGGTGGCATGCTCCAGATGGCCTCGCCGTTTGAAACGCCCGCAAAGACGATGCCTGGAGGCGGACCTTGCATCTGAGCGTTGGGCGGAGACGCCATTCCCGGTGACCCCATGCCGCTCATGGGTGAAGATTGTTGCATACCAGGACCACCCATGCCAGGCTCTGCTTTGAAGCCCATCGGCATGCCCTGTCCGGGATGTGGCTGCTGGGCGTTTTGTCCCCCCTGGTTTTCGTTTCTCACGTTGACGGCCGTCTTGTTCAGCGGTGCTCGAGAGGTTCCTGTTGGCGCACGCATCTTGCGCATGCCCTGGTATGTTGCCATTTTGCTCATGATCTCACCCAAAATCTGCAAGCCCTTCATCTCAGGCGGTAGAGTCCGGTCTGTGCCGAAGACGTAATCCAGGCAAGCCCAGATACGGTCGGCCTCCCTATTCTGCGGTCTGTAGTAGATCTCAGTGGCCAAGAGCAGAGCAATCTGGAATTGTTGGTAGGCGCCTAAATACCAGGCCCAGTCTCGGAATTGCGGGTCGTTCTCAAGCTGTATCGAGATCTCAATGATCATGATGCCAGAGGTGACGAGTAGGTTGTTGAGGCGGTGGGTCATGGGACTGTTGGCGTTGGCGTGGTAGGGGTGAAGGATCATGACGTGTAAGCGGTAGAGGAGCAAATTCATGACCAACTTCGCGTAGCGTTGAATAGGGATCTCGCCATCGAGCAAATGTTCGTACTTTTCCACCATTCGCCGCCTAAAGTTTTCAATCTTCTGGAGAACCGCAGTGAGTGTCGTTTTGCGTGTTTCGAGCCTGCGGCGGTCCAGCCAGATTACGCGCATCATCTCGTTGCACTCGGTCCGAATCGCTGATAGTAAAGAAGAGGTCCACACGTCTGCGGGCTCAGGGGGTGGTCCGGCGGCGTAAAAGTCTTCTTCTTCACAGTTGAGCGGGAGCTTGGTGTCGTAATCTTCCCTCCTGATAGCCGGCCTGGGGCCTTGCGCTTCGCAGGTGCGAATATCGAGGAAGCAGAGTTGATGCCAGATGAGTCTACGAACGTGAGTGTCCAGAGGATTCAGTCCGTATGTCTCTCCGTCTCTGTGCAAGCCCATACACTCGGCCATCCTGACAGCTGCACCGACAAGAACAGAGTGAGCTCGAGATACCTCGGCTCTGCAGAGAGGGAGCTGTGGTTGATGTCAGTCACGAACATGCTGAAACACAAACAAACAGGCGCAACGTACCATATACATGATGAAAGCCTGCATAGTTTCCACTCTAGTTGTGCGTAGGAAATTGGCCTTTCCGAGAGCTCTCTCTGTCTCGGTCTTCATTCGGTCGATCAAGTTGGCTTTGGTGACGCCAAACAACGTCCTTACTGTCGGATCGTCCATACTCACCGCGGCACTGAACCAAGCCGCAAACATGACGGCTTGTGTAGAGGCCCTGGGTTCAATATTGCTGTAGACTTCATCCCAGAAGTTCACATACTCAGCCTCAAAGGACGGTCTGTGGACACATCGTGCAATGGGGTGAACCGCTGCAAAGTATTGTTGCGTGAGTCGGTCAGCAGCCTCCTTTTGAGGTAATCTCCTATCAAGAGAGAGGGCCTCGGGGGTGTGTCCAAAGAAGAAGCCACTCGAGGGGGGGATGTAGGATTCGCCAGGCCTCAAAAAGTCGGGGATCGAGTCACCAGAGCTTCCGCTCACGACAGACATGGCATCCATGCCGGGTGGTGGACCACCAAAGCCGGGATACCCAGGAGGCGGTCCACCACGGGGCGGCCCGCCTCGTCCGGCCCCGCCCATGCCCCTACCGCCCATCATGGCCATCATTCCTCCCATGCCACCCATCGGGCCACCCATCGGGCCACCCGGAGGCGGACCCCCCGGAGGACCCCCCGGGCCAGATATGCCGGCCGAGATCTGACTATTGCGTTAGAAAATCGCCAACTCGAGACAGATGATTACAATCTGGGATTTGTTTCATGGAAAGTAAAAGTAGAATCGGACGCACCTCTTCGGCTATTCTTGGTCTGGATAGGCCACCGATGCGCTCTGTGATACGCATGCGACCAACTTGTACTCCCAGGTCAATGAGATCGTCGGTTCCGTCTGCGTCTTCTTCGTACGTGACATCGAGAGCCGTCATATCTGTCGGCTCTAGATCGCGCTCCTCGGCGAAGTCGTCCTCGACATCGTCGGCGAGGATGGCTTGCTGCTGGGCGGCTCGGGACGTTTTGGCGACATCGCGCTCCAACTGGCGCTCCAGTGATCCGACCTTCTCCTTGATCTCTGTAAGACGGAGCTGACTGGCCTCATCGAGCTTGGGGCTAAGGTAGACGCAGTCGCGCGAAAACTTCATGCAGTTGACACATGGCTGAGACTTGTTGCACTTGAGCTTCCTGCGCCGGCACTCAAGGCAGGACGTAATCATGCGCATGCGCCTCCGGATAGGCTTGGAGGCGGGACTAGGCGCTCCCGACACAGAGGCGGCCGGGGACGAAGGGCGGTTGGGTGGCAGACCGGTCATGCCGTGCGGCGCGGAAGACGTTGCTGAGCCCGGTGAGTGAGCGCCGGGCATGAGATCAGAGTTTGGTAGGACGCGGGGGCTCGTCATGGAAGGCCCTTGTGCGGTTGGGCTCACGGGATTGATCGAGTAATACTGTGGCTGGCCATGGGGTGATTGCGCGGGTGTTTGTAAGTGAGAGTGGCCATGATGGTAGGCGTGTGCTTGTGCGTGAGCGTGTGCTTGCGAGTGCGCGTGTGCGTGGTCCATGGGCTGAGCCGAGTAGACGGCACCACCACCGGCGGCGGCAGCGGCAGCGGCAGCAGCATGACGTGCAGCGGAATAGTGCCCAGAATCCATTTGATGGTTGGTTGGGGGTTCGGGCGCCCGTGTGATCAGATCTCGGATTCTTGTCGATGGCCGAGCGTTTGGAAAAGGAGGGTGTTATGAGAGGCTGTCGGGATGAAAATCGAAGCAAACAAGACGGTCATTCGTTGAAGAGAGTCGAGGATGCGGTCCAAAGAGGATAGGAACTGGGAACGGTCGAGGGTTACCTGGGTGTTCCGGGGGGAGTTACGGACGTAAAAAGGGACGTGGGAAGCTACAGCGTACGGGTGCGAGCCGGGTAGCCAGTGGTGAACGGAGATATGTGAGAGGAGCGGGCGGGACATGCAGGAGAGTTGATTTTTAGTCTGGTCCCTGGTCCTGGTCCTGGTCCTTGTCCTGGTTGTGTGTGATGGTGGTTGTGGGTTTTGGACGACTAATCCCGGTCAGAAGGATTGAGATGTTGGTGATGGTGGTGGTGGTTGGGTGGGCGAGTAGGCGAGCGAGAAGCCAAGTATGTGAGAGGAAGACAAGTTGGGGGTGGGCGCACGCAAGCCTATGTAAGTGCCCATCCACGTACGGATACAGCTCTCCTTCTCTCACCCTCTCACATAGACGCCGGTAGATGCGGAGGCCGGCAAAGAAGAGGGTATCCTCGATTGGGATTGGGTTTGAACTTGATTTGTGTCACTTCCTGTCCAACAACGGACAATAAGAGGACGAAAAGGAGGGGTGGAGGGGCGTGGCCGAAAAGGAAGCTACCTTTAGGTAAGAGAGAGAGAGAGGGAGAAAGAGAAAGGAAGAGACACAAACGTGGGAGTGAGTGACATGGAAAAGAAGAAGAGAACAAGAGGTAGAACAAGCAGAGCGAGACACGAAACGAACGAAGCGTGTAGGTAACTGTTGCGGGAAGATGGGAGGATGGAGGATGGTGGGAGAGGTGTGTGGAGCAGAGCAGAGCAGAGCAAGATGAATTGGGCCAGAACGACCTTCCCGCAAGGCAAAGTATGCGGTACCCGGTACTTTGCGCGGCCTAGACAAAGAGGGGAGGGGAGCACCGCACCCTCTCCCCGAGTCTCCGCATCTTTCGTACTGGCTGCTCAGTGGTGGTCACAGCAGCACCCTCCTCGGGGAATCAGCGGAACAGCGTAAGGTATCTAATAGTGGACGTACAGCGTATACTTAGAATACTCCGTACCTAGGCTGCTAAGGTACCTAGGTAAGGTAAAGTAAGGCAGCGGGACGGAGCAGGCGAGACCTGCTGGGCCGGTTCGCGTGTGCGACTGGGCGAGGATACCCGCCGCAGGTACCGGGTACTTCCGCATGCGGGGGTTCGGCACCCCTGAGTTCTTTCTCTCTGCCCAAGACACACCTCCCGGGAAGGAATAGTCCATCGCAACATCACGCAACATGTTCAGGGCGCCTCTTCGCTAATCTGCGCACAACACTGGTCGTCTACACTGTGGTATACTCCGTATTTGTACCAAGTATCCGTGTTTTCGATAAGTACCTTTTAGAGACAGCTTGCCTTCCATACCTAGGTAGGTACGGTACTGAACATCTGGACTGGACCAAGTTACCAACCCTACGATAATCTCCCATGGAAGACAAAAGCAGATAAGCTCTTTTTCTCGCCATGTCTCTCAATCTTTTCTGAGAATGGAAGTACATGTCTCTCTCCGTCTTTCTCTCTCGTACTCTCTGGGCTGCCGTTCCCTCGGCTCTGCTTAGCTGCCGACGGGAGAAGCTGGCGTCGGCGTTCCAAACCGTCCGGAACGTTCCCATCTTTCACTTCTTCCCTTTCTCTCTCTCACACACACACACTCTCTCTCTGTCTGTCTCCCTCTCTCTTTCTCTCTTTTACGGCAGTACTATCTGTACGGCGTGTGCGGATAACCATACGTCGTAGCTACCTACGCCATGCCATGCCATGCCACCTACGAGGATGCCGCCATCCCGTGGCCATGCCGCAGCCTGTCCCGTGTCTGCCCTGTCTTGCGGCTTGCCTATCACTCTACTGTCATTACAGACGTGTCTTTGGATGAAGAGAAGCGAATGGGACAACGCTGCTCAACGTGCAGGGTTCTTTTGCTTTCGTTTATCATGGCACATACGGGCTATCCGTCGCGTACGGAGTTACAAGTATCCATACACTATGCCCGTACTGACCAACTCTAATCTCGCATCAACGTTTGCCTCTGAACCCTGAGTCTGAGTCTGAGTCTGAGTCTGAGTTTGAGTCTCTGACTTGGGTCTAATGAATGATAGACGACGGGCCGCACCCCCATGTCATGCTGCCATGCCCCCCCCCCCCCCAAACCACGCATGCCACGTTCGTCTGAGCAAAGGTCATATTAAGGTCAGAGGAGGCTAATGTCGCCTCAACGGGCCTACGGCAAATGTCAGTCGAGTTCTATGTCATCAGTCGCGAAAAAACATCGTCCACGCCCTCTCACTGGACACAGCCCACCCATCTCGTCTTCCTTTGCTTTCTTTTTGCGTGCTCATCTTTGCTGCACGTAATAAAGAGGGACAGTTGGGGGAGATGGAAGGGGTACGCCAGTTATGCCTCGGCCGAAACGAACCCTTCTCAGAACCCTTCTTTCCCTGCCTTTACCCTTTCTGCTGCCTTTCCTAGGCTTCTTCTTCTACCCGTACGGAGTTATGTACTTTCTAGGGCAGCTTGTATTGGCTCCATGAAGTTGCAGCATCCTTCCTCCCCCCCCCCCCTCACCTCCCCCTGCCCATCACATATCCTCAATCTCTGCCTGCCTCCGCCGCCAGTCAACCCCCCACCTCGATGAGCAAAAATTTTGTCCAAAAATGTTACGATTTGGGCATGAGCTTGCCCCGATTCCATCCATTGAGAAAGAATCAAATGCCATGCAGATACGTCGCCCCTCCCCTCATTCCCCATCCGCGGACCGCAGCACCGCAGGTATCGCACGTCAGTTCCTCGAAGAGAAGTCCACAGCCTACGCACTCGCCCCGTAGTACTGTGTATGGAGTACAGGCAATAGGGAGCTTGGGTACGAACTACAAAGTAGAGCAGCTCCAGTGCTCCACAAGGGACCAAACCTAATCAACGATGGCGCCGCTTCCATCCATCTTCCATACATTCCAGACCTCGTCTTACGTTGTTCGTCTTTTCTTCACAACTTCACTCACAGATAATGCGAGGTCCACTCCCCCAACCTGGCGAAGTGAGAGCCTCAAATGGTTAACGTAGAGGTCTCATCCACCCAAATGCAGCGACAGTAGCATCACCTCTCACGCACACAATCTCTCTCTCGCTACTCATCGCCTCACCTCACTCACCTCTCTCTCTCTCTCTCTTATCGGCCCACCCCCTCCCACCCGAATATTCCGGCTTCCCGCCCACTAACAAACTTTGCCCGTTTCCTCTGCACTAGAGTCTGCCTCACTCTTTCACCACTATCGAACCCTTTCTGCTAATGCCCAGCTTGTGTGCCTGGGCTGGGAAAAGGGCCCTAATGTAAGGTACGGGATGATTACACGATACACCCTTTGCAAATCTTTTGCCCCTTCTTTCACCGCCACCCTGGATGAGTAACTAGGTGTTGCTCTGATTCTATTCAATTCACCTAGAACCAGTCCTCCGGCCGCCTCCCCCGTTTCGTGGGCCGCAAATGACTATGATTATCCCCCCCTCCCCCCATTTTCCCCTCCGCCTCCCGTCCGTCCCGGGGGTTAGGTGTCAATCGACCGGGCGGCGCCGAACGAGGCTCCAAGCCCACCAAAATCCAACCCACCGTCCCAGTGTACGTCCGCTACCCGCAAAGGAAACAAACACATTCACGGGCGACGAGAGACAAAACCAAGACCCAAAACGTGAAAGTGTCCCAAACGATTCATGGAATCCAAACGAGTGCCTTCAATTTAACCATTCTCCAACTTACGACAATGGGAAACCAGAATCAAGGTTTTCCCTGTCTCATACCATTCAAACAAAGGAAAGGGAAAGAAAAAAAATTTGCACGAGACTTTTCGCGACCTCGCGATTTCCTCGGTTTCGAGGACCGGAAGAGAGACTTGCGTTTGTGTACCCTCCAGCCCACCAACATGATCTCTCATTGTACGCATGCGGCCAGAAATGTCGACACACTCACCCACACACACACACACTACTCCGTAAACTCTCCATCAATCAACCTTGCGACCCGGCCGAGAGCCCGTACGCCGTCAAAGGGAACCAATGGAATGCCGTGCGGCGCCGTCGTTCTCCTGCTTGTTTCGCCCGCGTTGGCCTTTCAACATTCCAGCGTTGTCGTGCTGCGGCTCGCTGCAGATGATGTATTTTTTTTTTCCTTTCCCTCGTGGCGAAGCTTTGAACGAACCGAATCAGCTTCCCGCGCGATTACGAAACAAGGGACCCTGTCTCTCCCATCCCATTGCAGAATTCCAATCGCGCTGGGCCGTATCGCTTCTTTGCTGATTGTAGATGCGTAGGTTCCTTACCTACCTGCTTACCTTCCTGTCTCACTACTCACTCGCCCACCATGATCGCCCTGGAGTACCACGGGCACACTACACATCGTCTTTCCCCCTTTCACGTCTTTATGGCTGGGTCCGAATGACTTTTTATGTGCTCGAGGTGTAATCGAATATATGTGAATGTGGGTGTTGTGTATTCTCTCAGAAACCACCCAACTATCTACTACCACTTGCTCCTTTCCGGGGCCATAATCGCCGCTCTGATCCGCTCAGCGTCCGGCACCCGTTCAGCCTCACGGCACCTCTTCCTCTCTAGTTCGGAATTGGCATGCCTCCACCGTTGCAGCACCCGGGCGACGAGAGCCCTCTGCTCGGGTCCCTTGGACTGTCCTATAACATCCAGCAACCAGAGCAGGCGTTGCGTCCGCCCGAACTCGCCCCTCTTGAGCTCCCGCGTGGCCACCTTGGCGATGGCCGCCATCGAGCGGTTGCTGAGCGGCACCTTGTTGTTCCGGAGCCAGCTGATGCACCTGGACATGTCTCGGAACGTGCTCCTCTCCGATCGGTTCGTCGAGCTCGCGAACCACATTGTCATGTCTTCCATGAGAGCTTTCCTCCTAATCCAGAGCTCGTGCCGTTTCGCTTCGTACCGCTTCAGCTTGCCGTCTCCGCAGTGGACCGCCCACCAGATGTCCCGGGATGTTACCGATTTGTCTCTGATCATGGACTTGATGTACGGCACCCAAGCCGTCCAATGCCACCGTGACTCGATTCGGCTCTCCAGCTTCTTCTCGTGTGAGAGTAAAATCGACCTTAGCTTGAGAGCCGTCTTGTAGTCGTGGCTGGCTGAAGCGACTCGCATGAACGGCATGACAGGTATCGAATCCCTGGTCTCCGCGAAGCGTTGCATCGAGACAACGAGCTGGTCCTGGCGGCCGAAGCGACTCAGCAGCTTCATGAGGTTTTTGATCAGCCAGACATGTTCCCTCCTCAGATGTTTTGGTTTATCGTGCTCAATTTCGCAAATGCCGGCTACCAGGGCAGCGAGGCTCGAACTCGCATGTCTGGACGATTCACGGTCCCAGAATGCTGTGACAGCCTCGTAGTCGCCCAGGTACCCACGGCTAGTCCATTGCTGGAGGACGAGCTGGCTGAGATCTCGGTCGTCGTGCCAGGGTAGCTCGCGGTCAAAGTATTTGGACCTGACGCAAGCGTCAAAAAGATAGACGGAGTCGACCCGCGGCATGTGTGCCAAGACCTGCAGCCAAAGGAAGTGAAGCTTTTGACGGGCTTCCTCCTCAAAGACTGCCGAACCTTGGTAGACTGCAAGTTCAATCCCCTCGAGAAGCGCACCGTGGTTGTTGGATGACAATTCGCGGAGCGCAACGCCAATGTCCGCGGCCCGTCTGCGCCCTGTCGACTGAGACACGGCTAGCGTTTGCACTGCCGCAATGATGCCCTCGTGGACATCGTTCAGGTATGGGCGAGGGACCGCATCGAGCGTAGTCTGGAATAAGAGAATCGTCGCGTCATTGGCCCGCAGCTGAGACGTCCGATTCAGCACAAGATTCCAAAAGCTCGCATCAAACTCTGACGGGCCCAAAACTTTGGAAGATGCGATTCCGTTGACAACGGCCGAAAGAAACAGCTCAATGGCTGTGCTGACCGTCTCGCCGTCAGCGCTTGTCCCGGTCAAAGACTCGGGGAATTTCGAAACAGCCAGGTCCACGGCTCTGGGATCGAGGGCACCCAATTTCAGTTCCTTTTGAAGCCCCTCGATAAAGTCGTAATAACCCGAGTCGATCGCGTTCCGTGTCGATGCCGCAACGGCGGCTCGGGCTTGAGACAGCCGATCGTCAAATGTGGAGGCTGGCGCATTCTCAATGCCGTTCCGGTCAACTTCCTCCTCTTTCATCTGTTGTTCTGATACCGACCATCTGTAAACGCGAGATAGCAGAGATTGACTTTGCCGGCTTTGTAGATCATCCCTCTGATCCTTTGAGGTACGAAGTGTTGGCGGTTGCCACTTCCATTGACTCAGATCGACCGGGAACTCAATGGCCCAGGGAGGTAGGGTCGAGTGTCCGTCCATGTGCATCTCTGCCATCCTCCTCTTGCCCAGTCTTCGTCGATTCTCCAGCGGGCCGGGCACAGAGCTCGATTTCCGTCTCGTGAGGCGTGATACGTGGCAGTAGCGCTCAAAGGCGCTCGCCAATAGACCATCCGTGATCCATACGTTGTCGGGCGAAGCTTGAAGCTGTTGCTGGACGGCGCGGCAGCATCGGACGGTTGGTCGTGACGGCGGCATTGCGGCCCGGTCGCGAAGGGATCGAATGGCGACGGGCGCGTAGGTATTCAATTGATCTTGCTCGGACTATATCATTGTCGTCCAGGTCGTGAAGCTGCTTTTTGCGTGTTCAGTCGCGGGCGGAGATTGCCAATTGGCTCGATTTGATTCGACGGAGACTATTCAGAGCTGTTTGAAGAGAAGCGATAAATGGAAATTGCCAGGGAGGTCGAAAGAGCTTTGGATTGCGGGCCCACTTCAATGGCGGAGTCAAGCCACAACGTGGCTGGTACACCTGCCGGACCGGCTGCCTCGGCGACGTGCACAGCGCGGTAGGGTGGTAGGGGCACACAGGAAGCGGTGGACGGGGGTCCTGAAGCTTTGGCGGGGTTTTGCAGCGACCGAACCGCGGGGCACTTTTTGGGTGATCCGTGGAACGGCATCTGCAACACCTTCCATCAGCAACGTCAATTCCCACAGCAGGCCGACAAGATGGAGTTGACATTTGAGCCATTGAAGAACGACCTGCTCTTGCGCGCAGCAAGAGGTGAGTATCTACACCTAGTCCACCCGTCTAGTCAAATGCTGACCTCCTCAATTTCAGGCGAGACGGTCGAGCGCCCGCCATGCTGGATCATGCGTCAAGGTAAACCGCCCTTTCCCGTCCTATTTCTTAGGACATGAACAGATGGACAGCCAATTCCTGACAACCTGCGAAAAAGCCGGCCGCTACCTCCCCGAGTACCACGAAGCCAAGGGCACCCGCGACTTCTTCGCCTGCTGCCGTGACCCTGAGGTCGCCAGCACCCTGACCCTGCAGCCGATTGAGCGCTTCGCCGGCCTCCTCGACGCCGCCATCATCTTCTCCGACATTCTTGTCGTGCCCCAAGCTCTCGGCATGACGGTCGAGATGGTCGACAAGAAGGGACCCCACTTCCCCGAGCCGCTCAAGACCCCGACCGACGGGCAGTACGAAAAGGTCCTGGCCAAGAACGTCGACGTCGCCTCCGAGCTCGACTACGTCTACAAGGCAATCACCCTCACCCGCAAGAAGCTCGCCGGCCGCGTGCCCCTCATCGGCTTCTGCGGCGCCCCCTGGACGCTCTTCTGCTACATGGTCGAGGGCGGCGGCACCAAGCTCTTCATGCAGAGCAAGACGTGGATCTACCGCTACGCCGAGGAGTCCAAGGCGCTCTTGCAAAAGATTGCCGAGGTCTGCGTCGAGTACCTCGCGCTGCAGGTCAAGGCCGGTGCCCAGATGATCATGGTCTTTGACTCGTGGGCCGGCGAGCTCGGCCCCGAGGCCTTCAAGGAGTTCAGCCAGCCGTACCTGTCCTACATCTCCGAGAACCTCCCCAAGAAGCTCGCCGAGATGAACCTGGAGCGCGTGCCCATGACCGTCTTTCCCAAGGGCGCCTGGCACGCTCTCGACTGCGTCATTGACATTGGCTACGACGTCATCGGCCTCGACTGGCTCCAGGACCCCGCCGAGGCTGTCAAGATTCGCGGCGACAGGCGTGTTACTTTCCAGGGCAACGCAGACCCTGGCGTGTTGTACGGTACCCATGAGCGCATGACGGAGGCTGTCGAGACCATGGTCAAGGGCTTCTACGGTAACGGAAAGAAGGGATGGATTGCAAACCTCGGCCACGGTAAGTCGACGCGTTCAATTCTATCTGCTGCATTTTGTACGGGGAAAGGAAGAAGGCTGATAATCTCACGTTAGGCATCACCCCGGGCGTCAACCCTGAGGATCTCCGATTCTACCTGTCAGAAATTCATCGTTTGACGAAGAACTAAGCAGGCAACGAGTCGGTGGGTTAGGGACAAAAATCAAGAAGCGGCAAGTGATGATTGAAAAAAGTGGATATTCAAGTATCAAGTCACAATACCTACAAGGCGTATTGAAAAAGGAGTGCAGTACAGTAACATAGCATCAATCTTTCAAAGGCATCTTCCTAGAGACGGTAGTGCTTTAGGACAATCTTTGTCGAATCAAAAGAACCCTCTGATAAAGCCTCACGAGTAGAAGGAAACATAATGGCCACGGTGATAACTTTGAGCGTCGCAGCTTCAAAATGTGCTCCTGTAATGGTACCATAACAGTGGATTTTATGGTCAAGAAACAGATCATTGTTCAGAGCAGGAGCAAATTGTATAATCGAGTATAAAATTCCATTATGCTTTTCCTTCCCGTATCATAACTAGCCTTGAAAATCATGTCAACCGTGGTATCAAGAACTTTTTTTGGTGTCGTTTCAACATCTTCAAACAAAGTCGCTAACCATTAGCAACACTTATTGTTTGCCTCCAGAAAATAAAATCCCCGATCCATGAAAACTCCGTCGCAAAAGCGCTGTACAATGATGGCCTGATAAGATACAGTCCTCTTGGACATGCAAGTCGCCGAAATGATGAAGAAGGCTTTAACGCCCTGTGGCGTCCAGGCGCGATCACCAACTCAACAATACGCCATCGCTAATGACTCCTCATAGCGGGAAGAGACACACTGTAGACATAGATCACGCCCATTGGGGCGCGCAAAAGAGAAAAAAAGAAGAAAGAGGACGAAGCAGATGACGGCTTTATGCCTTCTTGGTCAGGTTGTTGAACCACTGCTTGCCCTTGGCGGCGAGACCGTTGGCGTTCTCCTCGGAGCTGCGGCGCGGTGACGGGCTCTTGCTCTTGCGGAGGGTGGTAGCAGACTCGTCGTCGTCGACGGCGCTCGCACCCTCGGCCTTGGCCTTCTTGGCCGCGGCCTCCTCCTCGGGTGATCCCTTAAAGACATTGGCGGAACCACCGCGGCCAAAATGGGATGCGCCGGCACTCTCGCGTCGTGGGACACTAGGTCGAGAAACTCATGTTAGCTTTATGAACTACTACTTGCTTCTTTGTCAAGTTCAATGGGGAAAAAAAACTTACGCCTCGACGTCCTGGCGCAAACGAGTCTCGTAGGGGTCGGCGTTCTTGGCCATGTTTCCGCTTCCGCCGCGGCCCGTGGTGACGACTGATGTCTTCAGGGTCGGGGTCTCGAGGTCCTTGGGGGTGATCTTGGGCGACTTTGAGGTGTCGGCCATGTTGCCGGCACCGCCGCGTCCGTGTGAGGCAAGCATTTTCGGAGTTGATGATGTAGGATTTGGCGTGGGAAAAGTGTGTGGTATAAACGTCTTTGTGAGACTCGGGAGATGTTCGTGCTGTTCCGTCTAAGATGGTCTAATGCGCAATCGCTCTTGGGATGGAATCGTCGAGTTGAATTGGTACGTGAATGGTGCAGTCAGGTAGGCAAAAGTATGACTCTATGATTTCTCAGGAAAACAAATTCTCCGGTTTATATGTGTGTATGGTGGGAATGGGTGAGCTAGAGGGGTGGCGCCTGACGGGACAAAGGAGCTTTATAGGAACTGGAGAAGGAACACACAGCAGCACACAATATCTGGTCTTTGTTTTACCTCCTAGGTATCCGTCCGTATGAGGTGCTTCCCTCCCACAGGGAAGGAGGAAGAGCAAGGATAGGACTCTCGGCTGCAAGCAGCAACTATTGCGCGACCTTTCCCAACTACGGCGCAAGTCATCCTTGGCCTTGCCTGACGTAGGGTGCGCCAGCCAAAAAAGTTGATCACAAGGTCAATCATTCTTTTCTTGCAACAGGCTCCTTGGCTGGCCGGTTTCTCCACATACGCGCCATCCCCGGGGTGTGCACGCTGCCAGCTGCCTTTGCTGCTCACGCACGGCCTCGGCGATGAACGACCTTGCTTGAGCTTCCAAGCTTGTCGGCCTCTTGGTCCACCGATCTGTCCAGGTGCTCTTCCATAAAATTTCTCTGTCTTGTCCACTGTAGCGGTGGAGAACTTACGTCTCACCGCGCTGGTGGGAGAAGAGGTGGGCCAAGCCTGGAAAAAAAGAAATTTCTGTAGCTGGGGGAGGAGGCAATCGAAACGAGGCCTCGATTCTCCCAGGCGTTGGCGGAGAGTCATGGGAGAGGGGGAGGGGTGTACCGTGTGTGGAGGGGCAAACGTTGACAAACTAAAACGTAATGAAAATAACGACATCCAGTCGAAAACACCACGCACCCGCTGAATAAGACCAGGCACGAACAGCGTTTCTTCCCACCCCCGGCTACGGGACCCCAACTGGTAAAGCCCCGAGGGGGTGCCAATTGTAGTTTTTACCTGGGAATTCGAGTCACTTGATGGCAATTCTTTAGCCGCTCGCTTCGTGCCTCATGGCAAACACGCGAGAGGGGAAGGGGCTGCGTGTAAGTGTAAGTGTGAAACGCACTTTCGGTGTGATCGGAATCAAGACGGAGCAGTGTACATCAGGTATTCGTAACTTATGGAGGGGCATTCACAAAGCAGGGCTGGTTCGCTGGCTTATTCAATAAGCAAAGAGAAAGGGTCGAACGGAAATGCATCGCGATATTGCGCTTCGGTGTGCAATCCAGCCGCCAGTGGTGAAGTATCGAGAGGGGGTCTGCAATGCTGCACTACGGAGTATGCAGTCCTACCCCGGATTTTTTGCATGCTCTTTGGTGAGGTTGCAGAAACCACCAACCTACCCCGGCGTCGTTTGATCAATTTGTGAACACTTGACTTGGAAAAAAAGAACCCCAGTTGGCCTGTCTTTCCTGGCAGTGCCTCGGGATTGCGCAATTCATTTCGTAGCCCGTCCGCTTCGCCTGGTCCGGAGCGGCCATGAAAACATGGTAGTTCTAGGCTGGGGGCGGCTGTGTTGGCAGTTGCTTGGCAATTGCGCGAATTTCGTCCCAGCCGAAGAGCGAAGACGAAGAACCTAGGCTTGAGCGAGCTGTATGAGAAAAGCTGGGGGCAAAGGAAAAATTACAAGCAATTTGCACTTCTGTGCATTCCCTGAGCTGTTCTTGCTCTTTCAAGCCCCGGTGGCTTGCTTCCATTGTGAGACATGGTCTCGACTCACCTCGGAGAGAGAGAGAGAAGAGGGAAAAGAAAAGTAGCTCCTTCCGAGGGGATGGATTCAAAAATCAAACGTCAGATCAGTGATCGAAGACACCGAGATCCACAATCTGGTCCTCCCCCATGATCCCCCGACCAACTTCCCCGATGCGCTTGATGACAAAATCGAAAGAGAAGGATTCCGAGTTGCTAGCGGGCTGCTTCCTCAAAGAAGGTAGCAAAGTGCCGTGACTCATTTCTTTGAATGATTTCCTGCCTCATTCGTCTCCTCGCCTAGCGATCAAATCTATTAGAGTGTTCGTAGGTAGACTTCTCATACATTACGGAGTACTGGATATTGATACCCTCGTAATATTTAGCAGATGTTACCCCGGATTTCCCAGACATATGGGCGACGGGGACGGTGGTGATGATCCTACGTAATGATAACTCTGCCGAACAATCAGCCAGTCAGAAGCTCAATTTCCAACAACCGTTCAGGACCAAGGTAGCCGCACGCGCGCGGGGAATCTGACTGAATTGGAGAATTTGCTAAAATCTTTGATATGCCAGTCTCCAGAATTCTGACTTGCTTTGCATCTTCGCCCCCTCGCCCCTTCGCCTCGAGCTGGAGGGCTTCGGTAAGTTCTCCACCCAAGCTTTTCATATATTTTTTGTTGTTCCGGAGTCCGAACAAGGTCCAAATTGGCTTTCCGAGCTAGTGGGAGCGGCGACACCGAAAACTCGGTGTTGGTCCCTCGGATCCTTGGGGAAAAAGAGAAAACTACGTCAAAGTAGCCACATGATGGAGCTCTTCCACCCGTCATGATTGGCTCTACCCATCTGGGATCATCACCAAACCATCATTCAGTATTCTATACGGGGTAAGGAGGTACGATTACTCCGTACATAGTTCGGCCCAGAAGTAAAAGTTTGTCCAAGTCTTCTGCCCGGCCCGTTTGGTCGGTCGGCGGCCTGCCCCGGCCAAGTTGCCCCAGACCCCCGGCACCCGGCGATCTGCATCCCTGGAAATTTTTCCGAAAGTGCGGTTGCCTGCGGGTGAGGAAATAGTTGGTTGTATGTAAAGAGGCACTTCGGCTTAGATGGTATTCAACACCCATGCCATGTCACTTTCAAGTGCTTGGGCGAGGTGAGGCGAACGTATGAGCAGGCCTTTAAGCTCACCTAGGGCGAAAGTCATACCGCCACATTGTGGCTAGTGATAATGAGCGTTACCTTCCATGGGATAGAATCAAGCCGGATTATATCAGCGAAGGTATTCTCCTCCCTTCTGCTTACCTAAGGGAGAAAGCTGCTGGTCACAGCGGCAGCAATGACATAATCTCTATCTCACGTGATGTAGCAGAGGATCCGATCCGATCGAGGCCGGCTGTCTCCGTCTCACATCACAGGACCAGCTCGAGGCCGCTCCCAAGTCTAGTATCCGGAAAATCTGGGCACATTCATGAAATCGTGAATGCCTCGGACAATTCGGCGCAGAACGGAAATGAGAACAAACCGGCGATTCCTATGAACCAGGAGGACCAGAATGGCATGGCATATTGAGCCTGTACAAGGTAAAGGCTCACAAAACTAACCCCCTACCATCTCTCAGCTCTTACATGGACAAGTTGCTTGTCACTGCAGATCCGCCAGAGGTTGCCTTGGAGCACCTGACCTAGTAACCTGCATGCAGTCTATGAAACAATTTGGAAATCCATATTCTTCTGACCACATTGCTCATATTTCACGATCCAGAAAGGAGGACTAGGCCAGTGTCGGCAGCCCTTTTACTCTCCGAAACATAGGACCATTCCCTATATCTCTCGTTAGCCACAAATACATTCACCTCTTTACCCGTCTTCTGCGGGTTAACACGATTTGCCCGGCTGGGCATTTCAGTGCCATGGTCACACAAATCAGCCCCCATCTTGTAGGGGACTAGGGGATCATGGACTCATGTGGATGATTTCTCAGCCGAACCTTCAATCACAGGCCTGCTTCGGGCTTGGATGCCCCAGCTCGTTTCTTGAGAGAAGTACCATCTGTAATGAGACCTCAAAGCTTCGGAGTACAGCCATGTTAGTTCGATCTGATATGTTGAGTACTTTGTCTTGCCATGTTTTGACCAGCCGCAATGCGGACCTCACCTTGGCCAGCAACCGTGGTTAGACATATGTTCTTCTCACAATACATCGCCATCGTCTTCATCAGGAAGCCTGGCTTGCAATCATTCGGCTGTTGGTCAGCGGGACTTCCCATGCCACCTGATGACCCGGCCCGATCATCTCGTGGCTGAAGTAAGCCCTTCTTCCCCTTGTGCGACTTGGACTTTGTGTTCCCAAGCCTGTCAGCGACGATGATCCAGCCATGCTGGAAGTCGGCCAACCAGTATCGCCGTGTAGGACGCTCAAGCATGCTTTGCATTGAGGGCTGCCACGGGGAGAAGACGGACTCGGGCCATGCTCGTCTGGCCGAAGCCACCATTTACGCCGCCCGAGCTTCCCGAAAGGCCTCTTGAAGAAAACTATCAATTCTCCAATTTGAGATACTGCGTTATCTCCGTGCCTGTGAATCTCGTTTCGTCTGGGGTATCACAGTCGGTTATATAGCAATATCAGCCGAGTCCACTCTCCCTTCTCGCCGTCCTAATGGTTGCAATAACCGAATTAAACGAAAACCCGAGTAAATATGCAAACTGAGCCGTTGGCGAACCTGATTCTCGGGTTCTGCAGGGAAACGTGGCTGAGCGGTGGCGTCCTCATAATGTGAGCCACCCTACTACATTGGACGACTGCTGTGATGTGATCAGTCGGCGAGACATTCGCGTACTCAATCCCTGGCTAGACCTAGGCCGGAACGACGAGAAACACAAGCAGGGGCTTGACATGATGAAGTTCAGCGCCCGCCAGATACGACCAGTCCGTCATCGGTAATGGAGTGCCGGACAGACGGGACTAGCAATGCGGGAGACACTAATGCGACGCGGTATGGGCAGGTTCGCGGGCGGGCGGGCAAACCCTTTCCGACGATGACCTGAAAGTGATCAACCACACATGAGCCCGAGTCGGACCTGCTTCCGTCCCTTAGATTCGGAGGTGAACAAGTTCGGCTCTCCACTCGCAGGTCTCGGCGAACGCTTGGATAGCTTGGAAATAGAAATGACCTCTCACGGACCGTGATCGCCTCCTGGGCATCGTCGCCGTTGCGGGTCCGAAGGCGAAGGAGGACAGAATCAGTACTGTCTGAGTCGTGTCGTCCACCCCTTAGAATGTCTTTGAAGTCGCCATCGAGGGGGAACGGGAAATGGGGGAAGCTGCCGACCCCGTTGATGTTTGGTGCTTTGTAGTGCTGGCGCTAAAACTCACCAGCGATAGCTGACGATCCCCCATCCGAATGCAGCCAGTTACTACATGAATCAGACCCTTTACCAGCCATCCGTGTGTTTCTCCCCATCGACTGTTAACGCATTGCTTAGTGCCAACGTGGATATATGGAGGCGAAACCCCCCGTCATTGGAGAACCGCTACCTCGAGCTTGCGATTGTGGCTTTTGAGTTCGTCGTTGGCTCAAAGCCATCTTTGTGTCGAACGGGTCAAGGCAGGCTCGCAATTGTGGATTTGTTCTGGGCTTCTATGCAATGCTCACCCTCTTCGACAGCCGGATGCGGTTCAGTGGCTATCGGGACTGGAATGCCTCATCGTTCCGACAGACTACCGCGCTGGCGATATAGTCGTGAGTGAACCCCTCCCTGTGAAACCTTGCCTGTACCCTTGATTTTTGATGGAGGGTCGGAAACTCATTCATCGAAAGAAAGAAAGAAAGAAAGAAGGAGAAAAGAAGATTCTGGGGTTGGAAAAGTATCGACATCATCGAGTCATCGGCGGCCCTCACATTCTCGACACCAGCTTGGCGGGCATTTCGCCGGAGGCACCGCCGCGATGGCTCTGCCACTCAGCACGAGAGCAGAGTGCTGGGTTTGGTACAGCCTGGCGATTGGTGCGGTCGTAATGAGGTAGTGAGTAAACGATATTCGATATTTCCCAACTCCAGTCTTATACTGACATGCCAATCCAGTCAGTCTCAGTACCTCGTCCGCAAGCGCAGGTTCTTCGACAAGATGACTGTAGACGACATGTTGATGGCTATAATAGTGGTAAGTCTTTGCACCAATCCTACCGCGAATATATATAATGCCCACAATTGATCCGAGTTACTGCGGCTAAAGCTGACTTGCGATATCTCAGCTGATATACACGACCTCAATAGCCGCTTTGTATATCTACTTTGACATCGTTGCGACGACCGACTTTGATGCCCTCACTCCGAATGAGTATGCCGCAGTTGGTCGTAAGATGGGAATACTGAACATTGTATCCGAGACATCGATGCAAACAACACTTTGGGGTAATAAGTGTTGTTTACTGCTATTATATAATCGCTTGACGTACGTATCCAGCCCTTTTGCCATCTCTCCTACAGCACAAAGTGCTCACTATTGGCAGTCTCTTTGGTCATTATCAAAAGACTTGGGTCAGCGTTGCAGCTTACACCGGGCTCGCATACGTGGCAGTCATCGTTTCACTATACGGAGGGTGGTGCAGGCCATTTTCCGAGTACATGGAGCTTCAGCCAGAAAACAGTGAGTCTGTTCATAGATTGGAAGCTGATGGCATCCGATTAGCTGTTTCACAAATAGGTTATTGGAAGGAAGCTGACTCTTGTTTCTTCAGCGGAATGCTTGACATGGAAGAACTACAACATATTGCAAATTATGATGAACCTATCGACGGATCTAGTGCTTCTTCTAATCCCGGTCACATTAATTAGCCGGTTGAAGATGAAATTCGGAAAGTACGTACACCCTTTTCGTTGTGTGTGGACGACAAAATCCTCATCGAGAATGGAATCTGAATGCTAAATGCAATACTACTACAGGAAACTCCTTCTCATCTGTCTCTTTAGCATGGGCGTGTTCGTTGTAAGTTCTACTCTGAAGAGGCCCGATCTCCTCCCGTCATACAAGTCTCGCTTTGCTAACCAACGTCTCACAAACAGATGCTCTGCGCAATCCTTACCAAGGTCGCCGTCTTCACCTACTCAACCGACTTCGTCTGGTTTATGTGGTGCGTGCGCGAGACGAGCACCGCAATGCTAGTCGGCAACCTCGTCCTCGGAATGCCCACCCTGCGAGCCGCGTGGCGGTGCGTCTTCCCGCAGAGCAGGAACACGCCTTTGAGGGATGGAGAATCCTCTGCGGGTACGGGGGAGACGTACGCGACGTATAACACGGTGAAGAAGGTCTCCCGCGTCGGTTCGGACGCCTGGTCGGCCGCGGAGCAGCAGCAGCAGCAGCAGCAGCAGCAGCAGCAGCAGCACGGGGGCGGTCCGTCTCAGTGGAACTCGCCTCCCGCCGCCAGGGTCGCGATCAGTAGCGTCTACACGGATTTTGAGCTCTACGGGAAGGCTGGGGCTAAGGGAGAGAGTAGGAGGTTATCGATGGGGTCGGAAAATGTATGATAGTCGGCAGGGCACACTCGACTGGATGCGAGGACTGCGGTTTTATAATATTTAATGTTTGTACGGAGTACCGGATATAAAAACGTATCCATCCCATTCCATGAGACGAGACGAACCATCTTCGGAATAGCCGCCTCGTGTTCACTAAACAACCGACTAAGGTTCATCTAAACTTAATATGCCGCAATGATTGTAGATCATCGCGGCCTGGACACATTGGCCGCAAGACTGTTGATCAATACGGCACCTTCACACTGGCTGAGTTTGACGCATGATACCCGAATATGGACACCACATGTGAGACTATTTGGCTTCTTGGCTCCGGTGCCATGTCTGCGTCGGGGTGTGAATTCGACCGGCTTCTTCTCCAAGTGCAAAGCAGCGATGTTAACAATATCGACAACCACGATAGGCCAGATTCCTTGAGTCAAACGCCATTTTCTGAGATTGGATATTTTGAAACAAAAGGGTCCTGTATATTTCCAGGCTCTCCGGCTGGTCTTCGTAACTATTCACGTAGTGCCTCGTACAGGTTTTGGTAAATTCCGTGCCGAGCCTCGAAGCTTGCTATTGCTTCTACTGACTATACGTGCGATCTTTCTGATTCGCAATCATGGTGGCTGTGGAAGGGTCAGTGACGAGCTCAGTGATGGTGTCATACCTCAGTATTGGTAGTCTTGTGCGGGTTTGGGTGTTTGTGGGTAGCCACGGGTGATCAATATTTGGGTCCTCATGAGTAAATGGGGCTTTATGGGTTTTGGGTAATTGTGAGTTTCGGATCCAAAGTTCCCAAGTGTCTAACTGAAGATACCCGTGGGTTTTGGGGTAACTATCCATTGGGTCGCCACGGATTTGGAACCCCATGAGTTGAACTTCATTAATTCAGATTCTCGTCGGTTGTTCTCTACCCTTGGGCCCTGCGACTTTGGGTCCTCATGGAAATTGTTTCCATCTAGAAGCATCATCTGTGTAGTTTTTCACAGCCTACTGTGCAACCGGCAACGAGCGCAGCCAAGTTACAATATAAGTAGCCATCCTCGTAAGGGGAAGTAAGTCTACTGAGGCGGTCCCAGTGAAGTTCATTGAGCAACCAGAAACCTCTCAAATAGAGAAGAGCAACGCAGAGACTAAAGAAACATGTAACTGCTTGTCCCCCTAAGCCCGTTGGAGTATCTTGGTCGTCACCAACCTAAGCCAAAAACCCAAACTAGCCAAGATCCATAACCCGCTTGGCTCCATCATGACCAAAAGCAAAAGAACATACAACACCAGGTATTCGCTGGTCGTCACCGACCCAGCTACTAATCCGGCCCTCATTGGCTTATCTATGGGAGAGCGGACGGGATCCCGAGTTTTCCAATGGGTATGGTCGTATGTGGCAGGGTGAAGGCATCGTGACATTGATGACGGTCGCGCAGCACCGTCGAGCAACGGGAACCGCTACCAGCATTCGCGCGAAGGCCAGTCCTTGCGACATCTATGCGGAGAAGTAAAAGGGAAGAACGGTATCCGGTCTATTGAATTTTTCTGTCGCGAAGTTTCGCCTCTGAGAGTAAGAATAAGAGGGAGGGTGTGGAGGCAGGTTGCACAGTCGGTTCTTTATCTCGACCTCGCCTTCCCTCAATAGCCAGGATCACCATTTCTCTGGTCTTTCGAGTGGAGATTATTATTCTAAAGCTTAGGAAATTTGCGGCGTACTGGTTGATAGATGATGCTGGAGGATGCGATCGCCGAAGTTAGTCTCGATGTAGTTACGCAAGCCCAAAGTGCATGCCTCAAACTGTCTTTGTATCTCGCGGAACAATAGCAGTCCGGTAAAACAAAACTACCTCATGTGAAAGACACTGCTAACTACGCTTGAAGAATATTGCAATTGACTTAAATGCCACGCGTTTAGTCGCAGACAAGTGCCTCCCTAGTCCACCACACTTTTTGGGGCATACATTACTCGTCAATGTGAAGTTGGCAATCATTAAATCCACGCTCTTCAGAATTGATGGCATGAATAGTAGGGTTCAGTCCGGATCAGTAGATTGGAGCCGGTAGACCACTCGGACATACCTAGCTCGCCGCGCCAGCCTTTTTCAATAAAAACACTTCAGAGACACTGAGCATCAAGTTCGGCATTGAAAACGTGGTAGCTGAAGTGATTTCTCAATCACCAAGCATAGTTGGCATCACTTCTAGTGTGAAGTACCAGTTCCTTGACGTAGCTAGGAATACGATGGGTAGACTCCAGTCGAAGCACCAGGCACTAGCAGGCTATGCACAGTGTAGAGTAGAAGAACCATTAGACTATGGGAAGTAACAGCCGCGTCAACGTGGTGAGAGTTAATATTCTGACCTGCAGGCTCATTTCCACGCCTCCGTCGTCGAGACGTGTTTCTCGCCCAAGCCCGCAAGCCCCCTCATCATGAGAGCGTATTTGGCCAAGTCTGGACTTCAACTCGACTGCAGAAAGTTGTTCAAAAGTTCTCACTTCGCGCCTTGAATACCAAGAGCTTACGCCTGCTCATTATATACGAAACTCCGCGCGGGCCTCTCAAATGAATATCTTTCGTACATCGAAACCCATGCTCCCTCCTGCTCTTTTCAAGCGACATGCTAATAACTACAAGCTCAGGTCCTGGAACAACGCTCTCCTCAACAGAGCTGACCCTCCTCCTCTCATCCGGCCGGAGAACCCGCCGCAGTCAGAGGCGGGTGCCTGAGCTGTGCCGTACAAAAATTCAACAACGTGATGCCAAACGCCAGGAAAACCATAATGTGTTTTTAGTGCCATGCTCTGCACGTTCCAATACCCCCTTCTCCGTATCATTACAATGCGATCGCGCCTCGTCGATTCTCCCGGACGTGGAGAAGGCCCTGGAAGCCGCAGAAAACGAAGAAACCCTAGTGTTGGCAGTCAGTAATGTAATTCCGCCCAAGCGCGTGCGTTTGTCGCCGGTATGTGTAGGAGGAGGGTGTGTGACGTACGACGTAGATCATCACAGACACGAAGATGGTGCCCGCAACAGCGCCGCCGTCCTTGGGGTCTTCCTCGCTACCGACGAGCTCGGGGTGGTTTTGCTTGAATAGAATGCCGAGAACACCGAGGATGACGATTGCGAAAACGGAGATGACAGTGCTATCGAGCGTAGACGAGTTAGTATTCGGAAGCTTGGCTAAGGGGGGTACTGCATCGGGGGAAGGCGTACCATTGCCATGCTTGCATGGCACTGACGACAGGCTTCATATTTACGGTTTGAGGCGGAGGCCTGGTTTCTTGGCTGTATGTCTGATGGAGCACGAATGCGAAGTCGTTGGGCCGTGATGCGTGTGGCGGCGTCGTTGGCAGTGATCGCTATGGTCGAGGCTGTTGCTGCTACCTATCTCGCCGAGCTCCACGCCAGTTCGGTGACGTCCAATAAACTTGCCTGACTAACCAGGCTGGAAGTCACAGCCACCGTCTTGTTTAGCCACATGTCCCATCAGCCGCCCACTAGCCACACTTGGACGGAAGAAAGTTCCGCCGAGATCACAGTCCGGCCACTTGTCGGCGCGGGTGGGGCCGCTCGCAATGGAAGTCTGTGCCCGGACCTCTGCTTTGCAACTCAATCATCCTAATCCATACCTTATGGCGGACACATGCTCGTTATCACACTAAGGCAGCTTAAGATTCAAGATCGACGTATCCCATCATTCCATCTGCAATAGTTTTTTAGGAAAATCTGCTTGTCTCGCCGAATTTGGACGGATGTGGTCCTTCCCGGATCTCGAGGTGCATCGGATCGTCCCCGCGAGATCGCAGCAGACCCATCCCCGATCAACCATGGTTTTGGAAAATACGAAGCTCTGCCGGCGACTACAGTCGTTAGTCGCCTCAGGTTCCTGGTCGGAAGGATCCGACATGGCCGTCCTTGCCGTCCCACATAGACTTTTACGATAGGCAAAGTCGGCCCCCAATCGTTTCGTCTGCTCAGAACCCTGAAGCCTGAAACGCGTTCCATCTACCCCGACCTTGGGCAATACGATACTGGAGAAAAATAACGACGGAGGTCTGCAAGCGCACGTTGGGAAAGGGGAAAGCTCCATGAAGAGAACCCGCACAAGATGACGCCAGGTCTAGCGTGCAAAGAATCGAGCCCGAGGCCAGTCTGAGCTAGACGTGCTAAACCGTCACCTGACACCTTTTGAACGGTGTTCTGTGCTATCTATTGCTAAGTGGAGGCTCTGCTCAAATTCCGAACGGTTCTAGCCCATCTAGTAGTGGAGAAACGGTGCATCGATGTGGAAGAAGCTTAAACCACGAAAGATCGAATGCCAAGAGACGGCCGTTTGTCACCGACGTTGACAGGACCAGTGGGCAGCAGTTCGCCTGATAAGAAGTTGACTGGGCGGTATCTGTTGCTGGTAGTCTGGGATCAAGCTGGCAAAGCAGCCAAACGGCAGAGCCGCCAATGTGTTCATCGCTTGGGCAGTGACATGACAAGCTGAAACAGCAACTTTGGACCCGGACGGATGGTCCACCTCCGAACGGAACTATACGATATCGCCAAACTTTTGGGTATCACCAGATTTTGTTTCTCTTGAAACACTCGCAGTACACTCAAGCTTTTAGGAGAGGTGAACAGACCTCTGGCCTGTCCTTTGTGCATCCCCGAAGACGATCCAAAGGAGAGCATGTCCTTCATCATGTGCCTTGAATACAGACGTCCACACCAAGCCTTGATCTTTCGTCATGTCGGCAGAGAGAGTGATCTGACGACAGTGGCACGGAGGTGCCGATTGCGCAACGGGACGATGGCCGTCACCGCTGCATGACGAGAAGAGGTTGACATGATAGGATGAGAAGACGAGCTCAGGTCATAGACAGAGTCATTCGACCCTATGAGTGGTGTTCGACTCAAGCTTGGCCACGAATAAGGAACCCCTTTCCACACGGCGAGAACGCTCTGCAGCTAACTACTATACCCTTTTCGAAACACCACCACAGGTTGGCGTATCTCTGATGGTTCTCTACGACCGGGTATCGGAATAATCCCACTCCACGCTATTCGTACCGGCACTCTCTCGCTCGAGCTGCTAGCGCTCATCAGCCTCTGGAAGAGGTGGTCCAGGGCCTGGGGGCCAATAAGACCTTGTCTTACAACGTGGATGACTGGTGACTGCATCGGAAAGCCCTTGCCAGGGCCAATCAATCGAGACTAGTAGAGTCGCAAGCGATCTGCAAGGCACTGGCGCCGAACGCTTCCCACGCACCACGCATCTTCCCAGCCGGTCAGCGCTAGTAACGCTGCCGTTCGGCTCGGAATGGAACTTGAAACTTGTCAACCAACCAGTACGGGTGGGCAGGGCAACATAGTGAGTCCATCGATAATTAGCATGCGACAAGCACTTTATTAGAACAATTTGGGGGGGGGGGGGGCTAGGCAAGGCAAGGTGGCACAGCACACACACAGAGAGGGCACACAGAGGATGGATGCAAGTTCGGGGAAGCATCTTCTAGTGTCACATCCGCACGACTTGCGCTCTGCAGACTTCTTATCCTTGATGGGTTCGAGGCATGTTTGCGCTTCGCCAATGGATGATAGCCCGAGGCGAATCTCCTGAGTCCTGAGCCCTGCTGACAGGGCTTTAGCAACCAACATGTTTGCGAGCCAATTTCACAGAGCGAAATTGAATGTGGTTCATCAACGCGGTCCAACCTCACTGCTTTGTAAAGGAGGCGGCACTGCTGGTCATGGGAATATCGTTACCCACAGTCGCCTTACCTGAAAGAAACACCCTGAGCTAGGCTTTGGCTGGTGTGTTGGTCTAAATGGGTTGGACAAACTGCAAGGGCCCGGGGTGAGGTGGGCTTCCTGAAACATAGTAAAAGGGAAGAGAGAGAGGCACAGAAGAAAAGAAAGCCAGCTCTGAGCCAAGCAAACCAGTGTTGGGGGCGAAGAGCAAATGTTTGGATGGTGTTCATCGTCAGGGTCCCGGTGTCTGCAGTCTGCAACTACCCCCAAATTTCCAGTCACCAACCCAACCATCTGCCCATTATTCTTTGTCCCGCCTGGTATCAAAATGCGCCTGAGTCTACGGGGGCCGTTCATCAGCCCCTGTCATACTGGCAGCAGTTTTTATCAAGGCCCTAGGGCAAGGGACGGACAGTCGAATACGGGACCTCGCAGAAGCCGTTGTTTTTCAAAACGCGCCTAATAGATTCCATGTGGTAAGAGTGAGTGAGTGGGTAAAGTGACGGACTCATCTGAGTGAAGGAGACAGCGCGCTTGGATGCAGAAGACAACTGGTAGAGCATCCGAGCTCACATATGTCACTCACAACTCGCATCAGGAGCCCCTCAGCAGCTGGACGTCGGTTGGGTCGGGGATGCAAGCCAGGATGTCTATGACGGGACAAGGTGCTTGTTCAACGGGCACGCTGAGAAAGGCCGACTGTTCACTGGCCCACAGCTTATGGCGGCCTGAAGCGAGGCCCCCATGGAATTCTGTCTCCACCACCTTAATGTTCAGCCCACCAACATCAATGTCATCATTACCTACCATTATCGTTACCGGGCATCACATCCCATCAACACCAACATAGCCCGTCACACGCTCATGCGCCCGCAAGTCCCAAAAGACAATTTCTTTGGTGCCTGGGTTCAATCAAGGTCAACCTTCCTCCAGGCTCATGGTGGAAGAGGCTCATTTCCATCAGTCAAACCAACAACAAGGCGGGCCGCTGTACGTCAGGAGAAGGCTGGGTAGCCGCCGCTTTTGCCTCTGCCTCTGTTTCTACCAATGGGTATCCGTACTCGGGGACAGTTGTTTGGCTGAGGTCTGACATGTACTGACACTGCTTCGCCATCTTCTTTGGGTTTCCCTCTTTCCATGGCCACCGACTCGTCAGCCTTGCCCTGCTCTTTCAGCGGCTATCTGCATGTTCAGCAACATACCTAGATGCTCCGTACGCATCTGCGAGATGGGTGCCCCTAAAAGCCCCCGAACTTGTGTTCGACGTTGGCACGTTTCTTTGGAGCGCGCAATCTATTTCTGATTGGTAGGGGCAAGATGGGTTTCCCAGGTGGCGCAGTGCATGGGAAAACAAAAGTCAGACATCACCAACCGCCTATTTGTTTTTTGTTCCATGCAATGTAGGTGGTAAGCCCAGAATTCAGAGTTGCTACCCCAGTCTCGTCTGCCCAGTGGCAGCCAACGGATTTCCCTTCCCTTGCGCCCATCCCTCCCGTCGCTCCTGGCGCGAGCTCATCCGCCTGTCTTACCCTCCGCTGTTCCCGCACCAAATCCCAGCAAGCGAGATGCCAAATCGGGCAAGATGCCTACCAGGATTCTGGCCCTTCTCTGTGTGTTTCCTTTCCTCGCCTTGCAGCCCCTGGCAGCCCTTACAGCTACGGATACACTATCAAAAGTCCCGAGGTTGGTGCTTGCTTGGCTCGACCATGTCATGGACTCTGAAGATCTCTAGGCGTGGACAGGGACAGAATACTTAGCTATTGACTGCCTATTCATCCTGACTGTGGATACTACTGTGTAAGAGTAGGGAGGATGTGTTCGCTTCCGCTTCCCGTACCGAAGTATCCGTACTCTATTCAACACCAGGAAGGTAAACTCCGTCGGCTATTGAGGCAATGACCAATCTCCTTGTCACTGAGTTGAACCTTCCTTTGCCCGTCACGACTCACGAAGGAGCAAGACGGTCCCTTCTACATACCGCCTGCAAACTAACCTGCCTGCATTGTCTCTTTGACGTCCCCCCCCCCCCCAAACCCCTGGCCCTCCTCCACCTCCTCCTAAGACTCTCCCTCTTGCAGCTTGCAGCTTGCCCTTCCATCATCTCTTCTCTCGTAGCACAGGGCGCACAAGGTCCACCCCGGCAGCGCAAAGCTTCGATACGTACCTTGCGAGAGAAACATTCTTCTCCTTCACCTAGATGCGCCGACGGCTAGCTGCCGTTTCTACACTACATACCCTTCCACTTCTCTTCCCCCCCCCTGGTCGTACGAAATACATGATGGCTCAAAGCATCCGATGTTGTGGCCTCCTCTTGACTCTCGTTCCTTTCTTTGATTAATCTGGAGCTAGCGCAGCCGGGGTGTGGTCATTCACCCTGCCGTTGGCATTCCGCATACATACCGGCCTGTAGGGTGCCAAGCTACCGTGACATTGGGGGCTGTCGTTGGTCCCATCCTCATCACATCTCTCGAGTCTCTCTCTCGTGTGAGTGTGTGTGTGGGCCATAAAGAGTCTCAACCCAATACCTACTTGCCGTTTGCAGATCTCCATTAGCTTTCCAATTCCAACCTACGCTCACTACCTCCCCAGTTGGATCATCACTTGGTCTGGGCATCCCCACGGTCTCTTATTCTTTTAAGAAGCTCTCCCAACCCCTCCTACCCTTCGCTTCCACCCCAACTTCACAAGCTCGCCCTTGATCATCGCTTGCCGCATTCCAACCAGTGTTATCCCGTTCTTCAGCAACCTAGGATATTACAACAACATTATCACCGACAAAATGAAGTCCTTTTCCATCGTCTCCATCATCGCTGCCGCGGCTGTCGGCCGTGTCGCTTCCCAGTCCACTGGCGTATGTTCCCTGTCTTTTTCTCACATGCTTTATTCAAGCGTACTGACATGACTCTCAGGAACTTGGTGATGCCACCATCGTCTCCAACCCGGCCGGTGTTGTTTACGAGGCTGTCCTTCCCGAGAAGCCCTTCTACAAGGCTGGCTCGCTGGAGGGCAACGTCCAGGGCTCCATCGTCGCCGTGACCGCCCCCGATGGCAAGGGTGTCGAATTCAAGGTCCGATTCTCGAACCTTCCCAAGGAAGGCGGTCCTTTCAGTATGTTCATTCCCTCAGTTTCAATTCTTATTTTTCGTTGCAACTAACATTCTCCAGCCTACCACCTCCACGTTGACCCCGTCCCCGAAGATGGCAACTGCACCAAGACACTCGCCCATCTCGATCCCTTCATCCGCGGCGAGGCCACCAAGTGTGATAGCTCCAAGCCCGAGACGTGCCAAGTCGGTGACCTGAGTGGCAAGCACGGTGCCGTCGCCGTCGACTACGAAAAGACCTACGTCGACCCTTACCTCTCCATCGTTGAGGGCCCCGGCTCCTTCTTTGGCAACCGCAGCTTCGTCTTCCACTTTGCCAACAAGACCCGCATCAGCTGCGCCAACTTCAAGCTCATCACCAAGCCCGACTCGCACGACAACTGCTCCACCACCACCGCGGCCACCATGAGCGGAACCGGCGCCGCCCCTACCGCCACCTCTTCGCCGACGAGCTCCATCGTGCCCTTCCCCGGTGCCGCCTCGACCAGCGGCGCTTCCATCTCGCTCATGATTGCCGGTTTCGCCGCCGTCTTGTTCGCGCTATGAGCATGAGCAGGCTTGGCGTGACGTGACGTCTGAACTCCGTTTGCGGAAATTCGACGAGTCATCATCATCACCTACAATCAACCTTAAATCACAAAGCGGCGTTTTTTTAGTTTCACTACAATCGAGAGAGCACGTCGAGACCGTTCCTGCAGGCCCATAGAAGAGGGGAGGAAAATTGGTATTTCACGCATTAATCGACAGAGGGCCTGCGTCCAGTAAAACGGACATAGGTCCATACTGTTTCTTCAACAACACTTGTACATACTTCTATTTGAACGGGGCGGGCATTAGATGATACCAGGGGGACCTACCAACGCGGGTAGTTTTCCCAGAAATTAAAAAGTTTCTTGTCTCTCATCATTTTTCTTTATCTTTGGCGGTCGTTCTATGACACATTGTTCTATGACACATGCACCTAGGGCCTGACCGTACTGAGATTAGGCTTATAATGGTAACGTATGCGGATATGCAGGCTTGACTGACATGACATCCATCCATCTGCTGCAGATGAACGTGGGCAAAGTCGGTGGGAGCACAGACGAGAGGGGGAACGGGAAAGGGACCACGGCTGACGATTCCTCATTCGATCGAGGCAAACGTCAAGCTAAAGATCTCGGACTCTTCTACCGCGATCGGCGAAGTAATGCTACAGCAAGGTCGAGGTCAAACTTTTAAATGCAACGAATTCCCATTGGATATCTTTCTACTTTGCAGTTTTGATTACTGACTATGGTGGGTGTGTGAGTGTTTCTGTAGCAGCGGTACCGTTGCCTGCGCCTCTTGTCTTCTGGGAAAGCCTCTGCCGGTGCGCCGGTTGCTTGGGTCGCCCGTGGGACTCTAAGAGATAGCAGTGGCAGGTCAAGCAGGGAGTGAGCCTGTTCGGTTTTTTTTTTTTTTTTTGTGGGTAACTTTGGCGATGACAGGGCGGCTTCTTTGACGAAACCGAGGCAGAAGAGCTAGATGGTGGAGGGGGGGAGGTAACGGAAGAGAGACGGCACTGGATCGGAGGAACTGAGTTTAGTTGGTAGATGGTTTACTGACGTCGATGCGGGGAGGGGCTCCGAGAGGAAGAGGTGTTGGCTATCCTTCGTCCCTCCTCGAGCTTCCGTGGCTACAAAAGCTTGATAGGATGGAAGTTACGGTTGCGAGAAGTTTGTTTACGGTTTGTGGGGGACGCCTTGAAGTAAACTTGACTGCCGTTAGATACTAAGGAATCATGGTTCTTCACCTGATCTTTTTGAGCAAAGACAGAGCCAGAACGTGACTCTCGCTCGGAAACCGGTAGGGCGAACCACAGAGGAAGAGCAACCGTTGGGATAGATTGCGGACGTGTGGAACGGATACGCCCGGTTGCCGTGTGCCATTTATTCGGGGCTTGGGCCGCTTCTGGCTGGTTTCATGTGCTACCATTGGATGGTCCTCCGTTCCCCCAAGCGCAGGTGCCGGAACGTCGGCGCGGGATGGTGGGGCCGTAGATGGTATCGCTCTTCCGGGGTTATATGGGGCCAGTCAATCGGCGCCCGTCTGACGCAGCTAAGTATCCGAATCGAAAATTTTCTATGTTGAATGGTATTCTTTGCCTTCCGCTTGAGTATATAGCTCCCTGGGAAATCGTGTTGACTCGACGTCATAAAGCTGTAGACATTAATGGTCGCCGTTCAGACCTCAGAGTTCGTTCTCGTTGACTATGTGACAAGTGACCGGACCGGGTCGGAGACCACCAGTTGCTCCGTGTGTCCACACCTACGTTACGGAGAACGGTCCCCGTTCGGACGCCCGCAAGCCCACATGCCTTGTTGAGTAGGTAGGACGACCCTACCTCATACTCGCTTTTTGCCGAGCATGGCCGGCGAACTGATGCACTCGAGGAGAAGTTCTGCGCGTGATTTCCGGTTCGACTCCACATTGGACGGCACCCCCTCGCAGTGACTCGCACGTTGATACACGGATATAACGATTGATATCGGACTTCGACAACGCGCGGTACTGTGACCTAGGCAAGGGTCTGTCCTGTGAGGTTGTGCAGTTTTCGAGAAGCATTGCAATTTCCGTCGTCACAACGCCTAACGTTGATGTTGCCGATGGATGTCATAGTTTGACTTTGTAGAGCGTCTTAGGGATGCTATCAGATCAGCCTACGATCGAAAGCCATAGAGCGCGGCCTTTGACAGTCTAGTACGGAAAGTCCCGGGCCGCGTTGGGTTTATGACGATACTCGTTGGAGTGACCTTCTTTTGTTGATGAGGCAGTTCCGAGCGTCCATCTTGGGACGGCTGCTTGAGTGAAATTGGGCCTTTCAGCTGTTGCTACTTGTCTTTTCTCGAGGGCCTGGTCAAGCCTTGCCCATTCACTTCGACCACAACCTTTCGGCAACTTTCCGGCAAGGCTCATTCTTCCAGGATAGAAGGGAACGAGTTGCGACGGAAAGGGACACGGATCCCTACGAGGGGAACATAGCCAACCATAATAGCATACGTTGGCATCGGTCGAACGCTAGTTGAGGATGACAGACTTTCGAGGGCCTCCACCGAAGCGGCGAATAGCTCTGGATAACATCAGCCTTTCTGCACATCTCTCAGTATGTAGGCTAGCTACCTAGGTTGTAACGGTTGATGCCGCAATCGAATCAGATATAATTCTCGCGAGTCGTTAGGATAATCGATACAATTGCGCATCTGAGCCACATATATGCTGTTAGCGTATGCCCAAGAGAATATTAGCAAAGCGAACACTCACCTCGAGATATGTTTCTATTGCTCCATCGAGATATTACTGGAGAGCTTTCCGACATGATGCAGTGGCAGGAACTATTATTTGATACACCGGCAAGGATCAATATTCACCAGACTCTAGAATCGGTTCCAATGTCGTAGACGCAAGCAAACCGGATATTGTGTTTGATTCGGCGACGCCAACTTTCATGACAACCTGAATGTGTCCAAGCAAGTAAAGGTTGGGGCTGAACATGTCATGCGATTTCTGTAATTTGAAGGACCCTGACAGTTCATGCCCTCCTGTCTCGTGTGTGTGGACGGCCTCTCTGCTGGCGCCTGCCCTTGAAGGGTACAGAATCGTGTGAACCTTCACTTCCCGTCTTTCGGGGAGACTATCCGAAGGAGAGGGAGGAACAGGAGGCCTCTGGCGAACCCGAGCCGCCGTTACTTCCATTTTGATGTGCCTTCCGTTTGATCCCAAGTTCTCGACACGTTGGCGTGGGCAGATATCCTACACATGTGGCGATGTCTTGCCTTCCGTTACGAGTCTTCCTGGAGAAGAAGAGGATGAGAAGAAAACGCTGCTGCTTTTGGAAAACGGTGGCTCCTCATGAGTCTGGTACTCTTATTGTCTTATCCAAGCTTGTCAAAGACTCCCCGCTGCCCCCCTACGTACTCTAGGTTGATTTTTTGCTCAAACTTAGAGCTTGCCATCTTCCGCCACTGTCAAAGGCTTCCCGCTCATCACCATCTAGAATCACCTTCATCAGCCACGCCGCCTACACGATTTGAACGAACTACAAAACGAGAGCGAAATGAGTGTGAATCACACTGAAGAGCACAGTCGGCTGCATCTGAGGTGCGTCTAGCCAGATCGTCGACCAGTTATCATCGTGGACGTCAAATTTCTGACCGGTTTTAGCCTCATCATACATTGAGGCTGTACCTGTATTCCTATTCGCGCCGCGCTTCGAGGTCTAGATACTACGTGCAGAAAGATGGCTCTGACCTCAGAACCGGCAGTGATGGATCTGAAGCAAGCGTCCCGTGGTCCTCCCATAGCCTAGTTTTGGTGGCGACCTTACATCTGAAGCAGTATACAAATGCTCAGCTCTGGATGCGCCATGTCTGATGCAAAGCGCCGACCCTCTGAATCTCGCACCTATAGACTTCTGAAGCATAGCATCCGGATTTGACTTTGATATCCAGTCGGATAAAGCTGCGATCCGACAATCACCAAACCATGACTCAACCAGCAAGATGATTGGTGGCCCGGCCGACTTTCTCGCTTTCACGGCCTCATGACCACAAGCGGATTACAGGCTGATTTCCAGTCATGATCGACCGTCTCTTGATTGCCACCAACGAGTCCGGATCAACAACGGACACAAGAAGGGCAAGGATGAGAGAAGATCAAACTCCTGAGTGACGTCGATGCACGCCAGGCAGGCCTGCCTAGGTGTTGTAGCAGAACCTCCGGAACGCTGCAAGCAGTTGTGCCGAGCCAGGGTTTGCGGAAGTCAGAGTATGTTGGCTGGTTCCCTGCATCAAGGAAAGAGGTTATCCGAAGGCCTAGAGATTGGCAAGTGGGCGAGGCGAACCCGCAGGTCCACTGCCGAATATCGCGAGGAGCCTCGGGATCTACAATAGGAAACTCGGAGTTGGAGGTGTCTGACACGGCAGGGATCCATCCATACAGTTGTCTCGAAGAATTCCCCAGATCTGGACGAGCAAAGAAGATGGTGTCGATATCCTAGTTGCGTTGTCCAGCACCGGTCCCTGTCGCGAGATCGACGGCAGTGTCGCCAGTCTGGCTTCAACTGAAGTGCGCCAGATCACGGCGATCCCTTTGTGGAATATACGCCGTCCCGGATGGCTGGAGGGTCAATCATCTTTTGCGCAAATCTGGAGTTGAGGAGCGACGTGTGGGCGGACCATACACCACCACAATACGGTCCTTTTCCCCATCTAGGATCATGTTAGCTAGCGGCTCAGCTCGCCTACGCTAGGACCAAAAGAGCAGCCACTCTTCGAGCTCAGGAATGCCTTGCGCGGGAAAGGCACGACCATGTGTCCTGAGCCGGGTTGCCTAAGCCCTGTCGGTTGGCTGGGCCGGCGATCTCATAAAGACAATGGCACCTCAAACCGTGGCCCAAGTTCTCAGACTGACACGTGCCTGGCAAGCTGACAATGCTCTTGTCGTGTGCTAGTGTCCTCCACTACATTGTACAATGAGACTGAACGCCAGACCGACCGGTAGACACGACCAAGAGCAATGCAAGCCACGAGGTTTTCAACCAAGCAATGCAACCCGTTGTGGCCTCGAGGACAGCAGAAGGAGCGTTATTGGATGCGGGGGAACAATGACAGCAATGGGTCTACTCTAGTCTCTACGCACAATACTCGTGGCCTCGGAAGCAGGCCGAGGCAGAAGACGCATAACAATCATGAACTGTGACACGCATGATTACTCCCGCTTGATCCATCCCGGAATTGGATAGATCAGAGACCTTCCTTAACAGAGGGGTGGAGCTTGTTGGGGAAGAAGAAAATCACAACACAACGGGCCGAGCTTTTTTCTGTCCCTTTGCTGTTCGGGATGCCAGGGGACTCGGTTGTCTGATGTCTGTCAGTTCCGAAGACGTTGGGATGATTCAGATCAGGTTTGATCGGCAAGGTTTTCAAGGGACGATGCTCCGAGACTTGCGGCGACAGGGCCAACAATGACAACTAAGGAAATGCGGGGTGCAGCGGAACACCACAGCATAATTCGGGAAGACCATCGTCAAGTGCGGCTGCTTTTTTTTTATGGCATATCCTGGCTGCGCATCATCCCAGATCGACTCCTGCAAGTGAAGGGGGAAGCGGACACAGGACCTTTGGGCAGCATGTTCTTTGATCATCGTCCATCGTCAAGTCTAGTTCGTCCCAACTCTCAGATGAAAGCACATCTCCCGAGAAGTCACTTCGTTGGCGGATCGTTCAATAACCCAATGTTGGTTGTTCTTGGCCTGTCGAGCGGCACGTCAGTATTGATGTGCAGAGCCGCAATCTGCTTGCGGGCGCTTCGCTGTCGCGAAACCTCGGATCACAGAGTTGTTGTCATGGCAATCTTCCGAGTTGAGCCTGCATCAGATTATTTAACTTATTCAGGCCGTCTTTTCTGGTCCGCTGTCCCGGACTTGAGAGGCTTTTCCTCCCACACACCGAGAAGCCAGTCTTGTTGTGATGACGGTGGTCCTGGTAGTGGCCGTTGGTCGAGGCTCCGCGCCGCCCTATATGCAGCAACGCAGCGTCGCTTGATCGGATGATGCCGCCCGCACTTGAAAGTTGAGGCATGGAATGGTTCAGGCACTTCCCATGCAGCTGGAACATCTCGGCAGCTGTGTCGCCGCGGGCCGCTAGCCCTGCAACCTTTTCGAGTGCTGCAGAGGCGACAAAGTCAAAGCATGCATGAAGAGCAAAAGCGAGATGAAAGGATCGTTCAATCCATCAAAGATGGGCGCGACGCATTGCCATATGCGCCTTTCTGGGCCTAATGGTCCAGACCACTGGTTTCCATCGCGCTTGGCGACTTGCCCCTGAATCACAACGGGCACTCTACGGATACCTTACGTACAGCGACTTCTTTGGGATTTTCTTGGGATTTCTGACAACGGCAACGGAAGGTCACGGGCCTAGCTCCTAGAGACGACGCATGGGCCACGAACGTGGTGAGGTTGCAACCCGCCATCGGTAACCCATCTTTCCTCAACTAGGCGCAGCCTGTCTAGCATTGTAGTTGACAAGACAATACTGAGTCACATATAGCCTCTACCGAGTGGCGGAAGCGCCCGAACCTTGAGATCCTTCGATTCCTGCAGACAGTATGGCCCGAAATCGTAGATCGCCCAGAGAATCGCACATAGTCAACTTCCTGCGCCATAGGCTTGGTGTCTTCGGCGGAGTCTCCGCAGCATCGATGAAGTGAGAGACTAAGCCATGGAAACACTGTTGTAACCGGATAAGCGTTCGCATTACCTACTGGGTGAACAGTTCGACACCTGTCTGGAAGCAATAAGCTTTCTTGTAGACTTCAAGGTGGAGGAGTTCGCGAATAACGACGGCTGGTAGCAACGGTTAAAGATAATAATCTTTTGACGCAATGGCGCGAGCAGGGAAGTAGCGGGACAAGCTCCCACATCTTTCGTCCCAAGTCTACCGGTGCTTGGACGTTACTTTCACCAGGATCCGCAAAACTGACAGGCTCAAACAGGGGTACAAGCGGATGCGGTAGAATGACTCTGATGAGGCATTCATTCGGAAACTGGAGGGTCAAGACCATAAGTCTCTTATCGCCTAAGGCGAGACGGATACGGAGTATCGTGGTCAACAATGGCAGCAAAAACAGTAGAACGGCTCGCCATGTCTCCTAGCGGTTCAGCGGTTCACTTTCCCTTGAGGTATGTCCTCATCAGAAACCGATGCCCGCCAATTCTTAGCCCCCAGAAGTTCCTGGCCGCGTGCCTCCTGTGCCTGATTTTCGGCAAAAGATTCGAGAATGGCATCTGGCCTTCTGTCTTGTCATCTGGAGTTGCGTACCCCTCCAACACACCCTGGCTGCCCAGGCTTTTCATATCCACCCTCCCACACTTCCTGGATCCCCGTCGTGATGGGGCAGGGGCTGGAAGAAAGGGCCGCTTGGAGGCAACTCGACGGCGAGTGGCCCCTGGTCAATTCAAGCACCCTCCAAGAGCTCGCAAGATGAGCATGGGATATGAGATGGGGTGAGATGAAGTGTGACGACAACCAGCCAATCCACAGCTGCGCTGCCTTAGATGAGACGCCGGGTACCCAGCGCTTGCTACTCAATATCCTTTGTAGGGTCACCGTCTGGCTTGGGAGTCTGCTCGGTGCGCATCACGGACGAGGGATCGTGCCAGGGAGTGTCGAGGGAAGATCACAAGCAGAGCATCTGCTGATTCTAGGGCCTCCAGACTACCCGGCGCTTATCAAGTCCGAATAACGATCTAGGTACACGATCAATGGTATAGGGTCGTCACAGAATGGTAAGGGAAGAAGGACAAAGACTATTCTGGGCAAGCGCTTTTCGAGAAGCAGTTTCAGGATACTTTTTTCAGAATCCAAAAGCCCAATTGCTCTTCTTTACTTTCCATTTTCGCCTAGACTCTGGGGTCATTAGAACGGCCTGATGACTTTTGGCTCTGGCTGTATTCTCTAATTTCCTCGACTTCTGGCTAACTGCATGCCGTCCCGCCGCACCTCCTTGTTCTTCTCCCCTCGTCATTATTGAATCGCTTCTCTTCGTCAAGAGTTTGGTTCAACCTCTCTGGTTGAGACCTCATTCACACTTCCCTTTTCATCCTCACACGGCAGACGCAAGCAGAGGGCCGAGCATCATCATTCGATGTCAGAGTGGACCGAAGCAGGAGGGGACCAGAACCAGGTTTTCAGGGTCTTCCGCATCTGACCAGCTTTGCATCCCTACAAGACTGGACTCTTTGGAAAATTCTCACACCGGCCTCCTCCTCCAATGACCGAAGGATTCCAGCGAGCCCCTCGCCACTGAGATCGCTACAACAGTCCTTTCCTATAAACCCGCCACATCTACCATCTTAGCTCCACACCGTAGCAACTCAGCCCTCGAGTCTTTGCAACTCATCGCACTCTCTTGACGACTGCTCCGAAAGTCTCGAAGGCTCAAAGTCGTGGCCCGACGTCTTCTTCTCAGCCTCGAAGAGACTGCCCTACGATCAAACCGAGTCTAACAAGCGGTAAACAGACGGGCGAATAGGAAACGTTCTGTCTGCTGTCTGAGACAAGCTACCTGGCCCCCACGTACAGTTGTCACCAAACGTCCATCAATCATCGAGAGCGTTCCTGTTAGCGCGTACATTCAACTAATAAGCCGAGATTTCCATCTGGTGGCGCTGGAAAGGTACAGCCATCTGCCGCGGTCCATTCGCGTTCGAACACAACGTTCTAGCTGCGTGGTGCTACTTGGGCACTCCTTGAATGCAGCCACACGTCAAGCAAGGTAGGAAAAACTTCAAAGTTCTTCCCCCTTTTGTGTCTTCACTTGGAGACTGGCTCCCTGATGCTCCACCAACTACTTGGTGTCTATCCATTTGCTCCTCAATCGTCTGCTTCGTTGGTGCCTTGCATCTACCTTCTGACCGACTACCATAGTGAACCAAAAAACCCTGTTTACACTTGCGAACCCCCGAAGAAACTCAAAATTGGGATATCAAGGTTGAGGGGATTATACAGCCAAGGCTGGGTTCCTTATACTCGAGAGTCATTTGCTGTCTAGAACTGCAAGCCTATTGGCGGTTTTCTCTTCGACGACCATCTCCAAAGATCAGGTACACACATCATCGATGCCCCATTCCATTGTAACGGCGCGACTCCAAAACACTTGACCTGGATGCCCAAGATCACAAACTGTGTTGTTGACACCCTTGCTGCCGTTGTAGTCCCAGAGTCTCCCAGAGAAGCAAGGAAGGAAGTCGCTATCGTTCAGCAGCCTGTGACTGGCAAGGTACGTGCCTTTCTTTTCTTTTCTCGGATGTTTTCGTCATCTCTCCCTCGTGCGTTCTTTCCTCCTTCGTGGTTGGTCTTTACATCATGCAAAACCATACTTAGGGTTGAATCTTGTCTGACCACGTCTTGGTCTCATTCTCAGGCTCGATACCTTCGTCTTTTGTGTCTCCACGTCACACCTCCCAAGCATCACCATTAACCTACTCGACGCAATATACCCTCGATATAAACTGCCACGGCTGCAAGGCACGCATCTCGACGCAGAAAAATTCGAGAATACGCTGTCTGCAGTTGCTGTTATTAGACTTCCCCCTTCCTACCCAACTTGGGTGGTAATCATCAGCCCACGGAACCGGGAAAAACTTGGGGAGCCGACCCAATTTTGACGGCAGCCCATTCAGAAAGCTTCCCGACTTTGGTACACTATCCTAGCCGTTACCGCACTCGCAGCTTTGCTGGACCACTCAAATCATCTCGATTGGTCCGTCCCTGGCATCGCCTTGTGCCGTGTCCGCATCGGTCATAACCGCGCTCTATCCGTACCGCACCCAACGCGACATTGACAGCAAATCTTGAACCGTCATTTGGTAGTCCACTCGTTAACGTCTCCACGAGGTGTCACTTGATAAACATCAAGGACGCACTGCATTCTCTTTGATTGCTTCTCCGAAGCCTCGATTCCGGACCAACATCAGCCAGTCTCGACGAACGTTACCCCCGGATACTAAAGTTGCCTTGCCAGTCAAAAGGAGACAACACCTCGAAGCGCCTTTCCCCATCCCATCTCGTGACGCTTAGACATCGAAAGCTTCATCAAGGGTATAGCAGTATATAGGTCTCTGACCTTTATGTGGACCTAACGTTCCGAAGAGGAATCGACTTTGTAACGTCACCGACTTTGGAGCGAAGGGTTCCATCATGTCTTACCAATATCCTGCGCATTTCCTTCCCCTCAGTTCCGACATGGAGGTTCCCAATTCTGGCTTCGCGCCCAACTACGGCGCATCAAGCTCAGGCCAAGCATCCATGCACCAGGAAAACCACGATCCGACAGATCAGGAGCGTAGAGATTCCATCTTACAGGCGAGTCGTCGAAAAGCAAAACGCTCCTTGAACAAGCCTAATGTCAGACTGCGGCAGGCCAACATCTCTGATTCAAGTCAGTCTGGCCAAGCTGGGGACAAGAAGAGGAACAAGCTGGGCTATCACCGGACCTCGGTAGCTTGTGGTAAGTGTTGTGTTCCGTCCTCTCGTGTCTCCTTTGAGTTTTGTACTGATGATAGCAATGTTAAGGACATTGCCGCAGGCGGAAAATTCGATGCATAATGTCAGAGGTACAAGGTGATGGTCGATGTAGAAATTGCATCAGGTTGAAGAAAGACTGCAGCTTCTTCCCTGTAGACCAGGCGCCGTCTCAAACGGCTGAAGCAAGACCCAAACCGCAACCAATACCTGCCGGAGGATCCAACACCGCTTCCGCATCGTCTTCTCCCGTTGTACTTCCCGGAAAAGCCCTAGATGGATCCCAACATTATCAGCACCATCAAGGAGGAGTTCTGCCCTCGTCACAAAACATACTACCGACAATTATCCAGACTTCTGCAGCCGAAAATCTTGGTCAGGACCCAACAGGCCATTTTCCACACAGCTCGGGGACATGTCAAATAGCTAACAAGCGAACAGTGTCTGCTTCGAGCACTGCAACGTCTTCCCAGCCCTACGATTTTGCGAACCCCCAAATCACGAACTGGGCATCGCCAGACGTTAGTTCCAACTATGCAACAAAGTCAGGAGACTTGAAGGAAACGAAGAAGTCTTACGCTGAACAGTCCCCGATTACTCCGTCTCCGTCGTTCTCGCCGTATACATCTCAAGCCCCACCGTCAGCCAACTGGAGCAACGCAGATATCAATGCTCAAAACAACATGGGATATGCTTCCTTCGCAATAGGGAACCCTATGGCATACCCAAGAGGCACACAGATACCTACACAATACCCCACGATGTCACAGCAGGGCCGACAGTACCCCAGAAGGTCTTCGACCGTCATGACGACTGACATGTACACGAACCCGATTGCGACAAGTTTCCCAACTATGGACCCGCACACTGTTTCCATGTCTGCAGGCGCCAATCCGCCTTCAGGCTACGGTACTTGGCCACAGCAACAGCAGCAGCAGCAGCAGCAGCAGCCCTACGGCTATTCTAGGCCATCCGAGGGATACGATACTTGGACGGCTTACGACAACAGTAGCGGAAGCTAGGCACTTCCTAGACGCAACCGTTCTGCATCATCAACGGAAATCCTTGGTAAACCTGATGCCAAGCATGCTACTTCTCCTTCAGACTCCATGGAAACCGACATGCCGCATCAAGGAGACGAGACGGGGCCCATGGCCGAGAAAAGAGAGATGAACAAGGAAAACGAAATACCCTAAGCAAACATGAGGCTAAGTAGAAAAGCTAGGAGAGTAGTTCAAATTCATGCCAAACCGGAAAAGATGTTCCAAACGGTAACCTTGAGTCCCCTGGAAAGAAGTCGTGTTTTCGATGCAGCAGTTATGGCATTGGAACGGTGCGAAGTATTCGAAAATGGAGCCGAATCCCAGAACGAGAAACGACAGAAAGCAATCGATCGGGGTTTGGAAGATTTCAAAAGCAACGGCAACCATACACTCCAGATTCAAGCGAGGAGCAAGGGACAGCGTCATGCCGATGACAGCTCTGCAATGCCGGGATCACACGGAACGTGTTGCTGGCAGACGTCAGATTTAAGTGCAAGCACATTGCGGAAGGAATGTTGCGGGGCCCCGAGCGCAAGGCGCATGGCCGATGCCGAGCAAGCGGGGAGGGTGAGGAGCCTACTTACACCTAGGCGGAATACGAGGTCACTCTTGTCTCGGGAACGCACCGTGAGACGGGGGGTTCGGGCCGGGCGCGGCGAACAGCAACGCCGTACAGTCGGACGAGGAGTCTTTCTTATTCCTTTCTTGTTTATATTAGCAACGAGCATTGAGGAGATATAGGGAGTTTCAGCAGCGGCGACAAGTGGACGAGGAAGGCTTCGAAAACAGAAAGGGGAGGGATCGCATTTGTCGGATCTGGAGACACGCATGTTATACCACCGGCGTCATCATGACGCTTACCTCTGGCTCATTTTTTTTTTTTTTTTTGGTTGTTATTTCTTTTGTTTTCTCGTCTTCACTTCGCAGTATAGCGTTTCTACTACGCCGCAAACTGTTTCCCTTGTCTTTTCTTCCCCTCGAGCGCGCATCATATGAGTATATAGAATTCTCTGACTTGCGAAAACTTCCTTCGGAGGTGGCGCATACTTCAATCCAGAATTTGTTATTGAGTCCGTTTATTCTTCAGCCTTTGACTTCATGTCTAGATCTATCAAACTCCTATTTTTATATTTGTGAGATTAAGCTCGCAACCCTGTTGGGCTTTTGCAGCGAGGAGGTCGCGCTGAGGATTGTTGGTACCTGTATGCCCTTCCACCCTCATCGGCCGTTTATGGTTCTGTATCTGGCGGTAAACCCCAAGTTCCAAGGAAATGTGAGGGCGACCTTGGAGGTGATGGAGGTTGAGACTGACAAGGAAAGGCAATAGATGGACGGGAATTTAGGTGCTCATCCCCGCGAGCCCCAACGCATACATAGGACAAGGAGGAATGTCTGGCTCACGTGGGTCATCAGATGTACAAATGACTCTAAGCTTGAATCTGAGTAGAATCTCTCCTACTATACGAGATACATTCTGAACGGAGACAGAAGGTCAGTTTCAGATGGTTTCTCAGTAACATGTACCCCTTTATCTCCTTTTTTCCTTTAATCGAGGACCCCTTTCAAACCTCTTCCCAGCGCCGACGTAGATGGAAACCTGTCTCTCCCTGACCAGCTTCAAACTGCACGAGGCGAACTAATACACCATTTCTTGAGTCTAGAGTACTCCTAGGGACTTTACTGTCCCGATCCCCCGTTGTTGGTATGTCCATTGGTAGTGAACATGAGTTTGGTGCTGCCGACACCCTGTCGGCTACATCTGGGGTTGCTGTTCCGGACCATTGATTGTTCAGTATGGCGCCGAGTTCTCTGATATCTTGGCTGAGCGTATGTGATGTAGGAGAGAGTCCTTGGGAGGCCTAGACCTTTGCCTTTTGATCTGCTCTAGAGAAGTTTGATGGGTTTTGGTCCGGTGAGATTAGGATTTGTGACTGAGAGAGTTTCCCAGGTTAAAAATGCTCACTGAGAGAACACCGCCGCGGTCTTGTTCATTGCCGTGCCCATCAAAGTCCATCCCACAAAAACCACACAAAAACCCAGATAGCCTGCCCATCTCTCTCACCTCACTGCACAAGCTGCCAAGTAAGCACCAAAAGCGTAACATACGCAGCGAGACTCAACACGGTCAACATCGCGACGCTATTCCCGCTCGTGCGGAACTTGCGCACCACGCCGCCGCTCGCGACCCCGCTGCCCTCGTCCACTTTCGGGCTCGTGAAGAACTGGCGGTTGCCCTCGTGGCGGCGGAAGATGGCGACGAGCATGACGGCGGCGCCGTAGACGGCAAACAAGGCGCCGATGGCGTAGAACTCTGACGTGAAGATTTTGAGAATGATGAGGGCGAAGGAGAACTGGGAGAGGGCTGTGCGCATGTAGGCGCCTTCGAACGTTCGTTGGGCGGCGCGGATTTCGACGAGTCTTTGGGGGAGGGGGAGGGAAGGGTTAATACTGTCAATGATGGGAGAATTTGAGAAACACAGAGCTTGACTCACTCCTCGGCGGTTAAGATTACGGACCGAGCGCGGTGGAGGCGCAGGTGAAGGTGGTCTTGGGGGTTTGGCTGTAAGGATGAGAAAAAGCGATGGTGAGCTGCGATAGTTCATTACGAACATTGGTGACTATAGACCTCAATGTGGCATTGCAGAAGATGCTCTCTTTCGAGATGGGAATACGAACCTGGAACATTGTGATAATAAGTGTTCAAGAGGCTCTTTTACTGCGACGCTGGTTACAGTCTCGATGAGCCGTGTTGGATTGCGACTGAGCCGCTTTTGCAACCGAGCAGTATCTGTACGGCCCCTTCACTAAAAGAAACGAAGCCAATTGGAAGGCGGCAGGAGGCGAACAGTCAATTTAACGAATGGCGGAATTCAGGGCTGAAATGGCTCCATCGCCATAAAGATACAGAGTAGATAGATCCAGAGCTGAAGTGTAGTGCTTTAGAGTTTCTGGGCAGGTGATCTCCACCCTGGTTCTTGGTGGCAGTGGTTGTCGATGTCGCCGAGGTGGATCAGGTGCCGTGATTAGATAAGCCCGCCAAGACGTCCCCGAGGATGCGTTCATCGTACCTTGTTACACTTAAAATTCTTTCTCCCGCCAACGCAGAATGGTTGGCTAGGTACCTTGAAATATTCACCCAGTATTTTTTTGCAAATATTGTTTGGTTATATGCTCTGTTGTGTATATCACTTACATCGAGATCCCGAGAGGTTCTCATAGCCTAGAAGACTTGATAGAAGTCTGGTTCAAGCCTAGGTCATCCGTTGGCATTGTGATCCATGCGTCTTGGTGTCCATTCATGGTTCCAGGTCGCCGAAAGTTTTCCATACTCGGCACCATGTCGAACCGACGAATTCGCTGCATCTAATTCACGGTATAACATGCCCCATCGATGGACTTCAATCTAATTAACCGCCAAGAGATCGCGTCTACTGAAGGCGCTCGTTGATGGAGACTTGCCTGCCATTCGCGGATCAGGCGGAAGATGGGGGGTTCATTCGAGACACACTCCGAAAGCACGAATAAATATACATATCATGGCTTGCGATAGCCTTAGCCGCAGATAAGACACGGAGACCAACAAGCGAGCGTGGAAACGCCGGTATTTCCATGCAAAGCGTGAGGCGTCGCCGACATTCACGGACGGGTCGGGGATGTTTGTGGCGCTGCGCAACCCTGATGCCGCGGGTTTGGAGCGGCGACCGGCGGGGTGCACCGCCAGGTCAGCGGTCAAGCTCAAAAACACAGCGCTTCTGCTTCGCCCAGGATCCCCAACTCGACTGAAATATCCGAGTTCCATCACGGCGGCTGCGGCTGTGCATAATGGTGCTAGGCCCCACTAGCCAATGTCGCTTTCCCCAGTATAGGTACTTCGCACCCTGTGCAGAGCGGATGTTGGGGGGGTTTTTCGGTTTTTAGACTCTTGAATGCGAGAGCGATATGACGGCCGAGCTGAGAGCGTTTCTGGTGCCATATGGACGGACAATCCTTAAGCGGAAACAATTGTCGATATTCGCGACACTCCGCTTAGGGGCTGATGCGTATGGGTGGCATCTGGCACATGGGCATGCATTCGTACGTTACTGCAGCTTTTCAACGAGAAGCATATGCCGTCGGATGACATCAAGCGTCTGCAAGTCGGTAGGTCTGACGAGCGCTTTTCAAGGGTTTGGTATGTGGTCGGCATGAGGTATTAGGCGCACAGCATCGCCGATGAAATGTGCGTGGGACCACCCGGAGCTAGGGCCGGAAGTGGGAATCTGCCTTCTCGGTGAACACAGGCTGACCCAAGGGTTATCGATGGTCGATAGTCGATGACCAAATGTCGTGTCGAGGTCGAGATGAGACTAATCTTGTGGCATTATCAAGCCCAGGGACAAGAATCCAGCCACCCATCCACTGAGGTGCAGTGAGCCTGTGAGGTGCGGCGACGGACGCTGAGGGTAAGAGCAGAGCGTGAACTAAGTGGAGGGACAGAAGTAAGCCACAGTAGCTTGCATCTGTGCGACAAGATGTGGTGGGATGGATGTAGGTATTGGATCCATGCTCATACGGCGGCGCAAGTGTAAGACGGGGAGTGGGTGACGGGATGAGTGTGTGAGGTCTGAGGTGACTCTGTCCCAGTTGCAAAGTTGCAGTGGAGAGGTAAAACTGCCCTGCGGGCTGGGGCTGAGAGAAATGCGCCCAACGATAGCAAAGAACGCCTCGCGCAAATGGAAGAATTAAGACGATACTTTGATTTGCCGTGTGAGTGGGCGGTGGTCTCAGGTCCCTCGCCATCTGGTTCGCTTCTGGTTCGCTCCCGGCCCCCATTCCGCCCTACGAGCGAGTGCGCCTGTGGAGAGGTACTTCGCACATGTACTGAAGGTACATGCATTGGGCTGTCAACCACTCAGAGACGTGAACGTTCCTTCCAGTTCTCGGAGTCTCCCAAAAGCCCCACATGACGGGGCGGGGCAGCGTTGCTGCATGAGCCATGAGGAAGTCGCAGTCGACATGAATGATGAACGGGAAGGAAGCATGGAGCATGGAGCAGGAGCATTACTAAGGCAAGGCATTCTGAGAATACCTACCTACCTTCTCGAACCTGGAAAGTTCTTACACGAAGATATGGCGAGATAGCGATGTATCGCAACTCCTCCAAGTTGGGTCAACACGTCAGGTACCTGATCTGACAATATATTGCGGTTTTCGACCGTACAAACCGAAAAGCGGGATCAAGAAGGCGTGGTTCCTCCAGGTTTTCGGCCGAACACTTGACAACCAAATCTGAACCAACGATGCTGACAGACGGGCAGCAATTCCGCATGCCATCTCTACCCTATTGTTGTCCGTACCCAGCCACTGGGTAGTCCGTCCTCAATCCTCCGTCCCCGTAGCCATAGGACATCATAGTATCGGTAAAGAACCTAGGTGACAAGAGGGCAGCGTTGTGGCGCATTCCCGCTTCGGTGGGCTGCGCAAGTGGCCGGCATGCTACCGCTAAGGTACCGCCCACGCGCTTCCCATTCACTGAGACAATGGAACCTGAACGACGAGGGCGGACTGGACGGGACAGCTGAACCTGGATGAGAGACGGGAGAGAGAGACACCAGGCAGACTGCCCAAGTCTAATTCTTTGGGTGTGTGGGTTGGCGGGCAGTGGGAAAAGCTAAGGTACTGAAACTCTCAAGCTTTCGCAGTATCACTTCTCCCTGAGTCTCTCTCGCTTTCCATTTCTGCTCGTGTTGAAGATTACCCAAGGTACCTCATCGCAAGGCACGGATAGTATAGAGCAAATAGGTACTCTATCTTTACCAAAGGTAAAAGAAGTACCGTACTTTATAGCCCTTCCCATTCTGAGCTTCAATTGACCCTGAGGCGCACCTTCGTACCTTCGCCATGCACCACTACCACCACCACCTGCAAATGTCCGCCTAATTGCCTTATTAACTAAAGGTAGATAGGTCAGGTACCTGGCTTCTAATTGGTTTCCGCCCCTCCTCGAGATTGAATTCCGTCCTGTCTCGCGCTTGTCTTGTCACAATCGCATCCCCACCCCCAACCGTCTCTTGCTTCTCCAAGGTTAGCCCGCTGGGTACTCGTACCTTACGCCTATCCAACCATCCCTCCCCTCGTCATCCCAAGATCATCTCTCCCTCTCCCTCTCTCTCACAAGTCTCACCAACTCTTTTCTCCCCTTCTCTGCCTCCCGTCTGGCTCGCGACTCTGCCACATTCAACCCATGCGCTGGTCCTAGGCTCTCTTCCGCCTCGTTCTGCTGTCTCTGCATGATCTCATCGAGTCTTGTACACCCCCTCGCATACCCCTGATTCCCGAGCTTCTTTACACAAGACCCGCGGATACTCTATCGCATATCCCGCTTCGCACCCCCCCGTTCCTCCGCCGTTCCACTGTCACTCTTTCCATCTTGGCTATACTTCTCTGCCACCGACCTCAATTCAGCCTCACCGCGAAACGCCGCAAACAACTCTTTTGCTTTCGAAATCACCTCAGCGCCTTAACGCTCGCATACCTAGACAAGCTTGATCTATTTCTTGTTGCTTGACCCAGTTGTTCCCTACGGCGCCTGTACGAATACACAATCAGCGAAAAGCATAAGCGCTGGACGAAAGGAACGACCAACACGTCTCGGCCGCGCAAACGCCGCCGCCCTCCACGACCACACCTTCTTCTTGTGGCTTTCCCCTTGCTCGCTGGCGACTGCTTTTCTCCTCCACATTCAACTGCTCTGTGGTATCGCATCGCCTTGTCAACACAGTCTGGTGCCTTTTGCCTCAATCCACAAACTGGTGCAAGACTGCTTCCTGGAGCCCTGTTGCATCTGTCGCCTAACCCCGTCTTCAGCCTGCTCACTTGATCGCTTCCAATTCAATCAACTCAATCAAGTCGGAACATGACAACGCCTGTCTTCTAATAACTCTCAAAGAGTAGTCCCGTCTTCGGCTTTGGCTCCGTCTCGCCTGATCTATCGTACGTCAACATCAAGCCGGCCTATATATCACGATTAGCTTCTCCTACAATCTCCCACATACACTCGCGTCGTGTCGTGGCCATGGCTTCGACATACGCTGTACCTCCCGCGACCTTCCATGATGGACAAACTAGCGATACCCACAACCCCTCCCCACCAAGTAGTGGTCAACGACGACTGACTGCAACTTCATTTGACCCGAATCATCTCTCGCCTTCGTCTCAGTTGCAGAGCAGCTCCGTCTCACCCAACTATAACGATACTCCAGCAGAGTCCATCTCTAACTACAGCCAATATCATTCGAGCGACTTCAGCGATATGGATGATGGACTCGACCCTTTCTTTGGCGTCGACTTTAGCAATACTGAAGCGGGTACGCCCTCTTTCCTGGACCCGGAACACAGAACCGACAGCTTCGGCCAGGCCACAATTTCTCAGGCGAGAAGCAAGAACCTGGACGCTAATACCTATCCATTCACCCCTGAGCAAACGGCCTCACTACACACGACTTCACCGCGCAGCGATATGAGAACGATTGCCAAGTCTGTGCCTGAGCGACTCCCTCTATCCATCTCACCTCAGGAGCTACAAAGGCCATTCCAACCTCCTCAGATTTCCACTTTCGCCGCACAGTCCACATCTCAATTGACACCAGATCTCAGTGGTAGTGGTCGTTCCAGTGAGGACAGTGCAGTGCCGTCTCCTCCCATGATGGCTGCTCAGAGTCCTCGAGTGACTGTCTCCATGTGGGGTAAAGATGCTACCGAACCGGTGCAGTCAATTGAGCGCACATTTA